TGTAAATTTATCAACACATGAATCGAAGACCCGTGTTCACTTCACCAATCACAAGCACCAAAATCATCGCACTTATATTTCCTTTATAAACTAATTCTGTTTTTTGTAATACTTTTTTTTTAATATATCAAATAATTAATCTATTTCTTGTTGTAAGTGATTGGTCTTTTTATGGATCTAAATTAGGATGTCATCATACAAAAAAGGTTGAGAGCCATAGATCTAGAACGACTAGAACGTACTCCGATCTTTAAAAATGTTGTTTTTATAATAGATCTACACGAAATCTAAATGACATAAGACATTTGTTGGTTTATTTACTTTATTCTAATCGTCTAAATTATTGGTGTAAATCAAAGGGATTTAATCCTCTCAAAAATTGTTTAAGCTTCTCTAAAAACAAATAAAAAAAAATTATTATTTTAATATTATTTTATTTTATAAATATTGTCCTGTTTAGTCCACATAAAAAAGTACTATGTTTAAGTAGGTTTAGAATATTTTAATAAAGTGTTACAAAAATAATTCTGAAGGGAACGTATATAGTTACTTTATAAGTAAGTAGTAACCTATATTATTTTATCATGTTGAAATTAAAAACTTCGTGACTTTAAATTTTATAGTTTAAAAAAGATAATTTCCCTCTGATTTTATACTAAAATTATATATAGATATGCTATAGCTAAACACATTTTAATTAATAAATTGTATCGTATTAAAATAATTAATATAACAATAATAATTTTTTTCTCATGCTATATTGTTGTAATAATTATAGGTATTTACAATACATTTATTGCTAATGGTATATGAACTTGATACAATTCTTTCAATATTCAATAGGTAAGTTAGGGAGGTGTCTACCTAGATCTCTTAGAAAGTATGAACTATATTATGTTTACATGACCAGTGGCGTATTTAAGTTTTTGTCATTGGGGAAGGAGGGGATATGACTTTATACGGCAATTACCAACTCACCACCCTAAATTTCCAGGAATTATAATAGCTTTTTATAATAAATTAATAGCTACCTATTAAATATACATTCTATGTTTAAATATGTTGCCAAAATTATAATATATAACACATTATTTGAGATTAAATGTTTTATTGATACAAAATTGAATGTTTAAATATATTTGAATAATATGATAACTATAATTATTTGTGTATACAGCCTATGGAGGATTTATCTCTTTGATCCCCCTCGTAAATACGCCACTGTATATGGCTATATATTATGTAGTTGAACGCAGACATAATATTTTGTCAAAAAAAAGTATTCAACAATATAATTATGTAATAACAAATAAGCAAATTGTACCTATATTTTAAACAAAAACTCTTCAGCATTGGTAAACAAGTACCTATTTAAAACTGTAAAAATTAAAAAAAAATTGTTTGAGGCTAAATCTAGTTTCTTTAATTTGTATAGTAATAACTGAAATAATTTCCGTCAGAAGTCTTTGTTCGTTAGTTCCCAGAATCAAGATGACTAGTATATTGACAATGTGTTTTATATTTATTATTTGCTTGTAATTTGTTATTTGCTGTTAATCTTTGTCTATAGACTTACATGTCATGCTGTAAAGGTGTTGGTCCTGATTGACCCAGGCGATTGATATCAAATATCACTAAATTGTCCAAATTATAAGATGATGCAAAGTTCAAAGCTTCCCAAACTGAACTTTCTGCACTTTCACCATCACCCAATAAACAAAAAGTCCTACTGGAAATTACAGATATGTTTTTAAAATTCTTACAAATAAATATAGATATAATTTGAAAATAATGAATTTCAGTTTTAATCCTTTGAAGAGTGAATTATTTTTCACAGTTGGTATTATAGTAATACATTCAGAAATGAAGATTTATAATTCGAATTATATGAAATCAGTTATAATTCCTAATCATTAACACTATTAAATTGCTTTATATTACGGAATAATAGTTTACAAGGAATAGGAAACGTTTTTCGACAAATATACAATGGAAATACATAAAAAATAATGTAATTATGTATAAACATGTAGAATATAAATATAAATAATATCTATAGTATAGCCAGTATAGGTACCTAAAGGCTAAAATACACACATAGATACATTGATACATAGTAAGATAAGTAAAAATCAAGTATATAAGTAGTGTTACGGTTATAGTGCCAGCTTTTAAGGGCATGAGCTATGAGTATGTTGTCTAATTTTTTTAAGTGGTAGGTTGGATGTTATAATTCAAAATAACAGATGCAGTGAGAATTATACATGTTTTTTTTCAACAGGAAAATATATTTCTACGTTTAATTCTAGTTTATTTTCAAATATATCATTACTAGCAGAGCTTAATCAATACATATTTAAAATACTTTACGATTTTAATTAAGTTAAATGACTTACCTAGATATAAACTATTTAGTATTTACGCATGAAGAACAAAATAAATATTAGTTTAGTTGAGTATTTTATGAAATTACGTAGAATTTTTGTAAAGTGAGCGTCCAAATAATTTAAAAAAATGATTTTGATTTTATTTTAATGCCAATTGATTTGTCTTTGTATTTATAACATAAACGATGGAAACAGTAAGTATAAAAACTCTATAACTACATAAAATCCAAAGTATCCAACTTAAAGATTGCATAAATACATACATACTGAATGCTGCGATGACTATAACGAGTAGGGTGTACATTTTTGAAGAAGTGAAGCATTATAGTATTTATCCAAATGTTTTTACATGAAATATTTAGGGTAAAATAATACAATAAAATATATTTTTTAAATAAATTAATAACCAAAAACAATGGTTAACTATCGTATATAAATTATCATTATTAATTTTTAAATACTAATAATGATAGAGTATTTATAACTAAACACACATAAAAGATTTTTTTTTAACAAACTTAACAATCTGTAAAAAAGTTAAAATAAAAAATAATTATAGTAAATATAGGTACATTAGAATATTTATATAATGAAAAAGTAATCCATTATTAGGCAATAAATAATAAATAATAAGTTAAGTATATCATATTAAAATATATTGAAATATATAGTCTAAATTAACTTATGAATAATTTTTCACATCTACCCATTGAAAAAAAAATAGTCAATTACAAAAAATAACATTAAAAATTAAAGGAATTTACGTAATACTTCTATAGAATCAAATAAATCCTAAATTCTAACGGTTATTTTTGGAGAAAGTACGACTAGCAGCAAATGGCAAAATATAGTGTCTACTAGTATTAGGTCGAAAACATAACGAATCCTAGTTTTTTGGTATATAGTATATAAACGTAGTGCTTATACATCTAAATATTAAATAATTGTATAATCGAAATGTACGTATGTTATCTGATCTGGTTTTTACACTCGCTATTTCCTTTTCTGACCTATTAAGTATATTAATTAATCAAGACAATCGCCCCGGGCATCAAATTGTGAGTCTCTTAACGGGGCGTTGTGCTAGAAATTTAAGAAACTTTTTTTTTTTAGGTAAATCATCGATGTGTAAAAATTGATCAATCCTTTCAATATTTTTTTTTTCTAGGGAAAAAAGGGTACAAAAATCGTAAATACGCTCTTGGATTTCTAATACAGTACCTATAATATTATATTGTTTTCTATAATTTTTTACATAAAACTATACACCACAGGTATAGCTTATAGATAGAATTTAAACTTTAAAGCCGTGTTATAGACTAAACTGTGGTATTTGACATTAGTCTATACCATTAAATAGGATGATTAAAAAAGAATACCTTTATCTTTAAAATTCAATATTTCATTCTAATAGGCTTAGGCTTCTGTTCATTTTGTTCAAACAAGTAAAAAATCATTATTATAAAACTAAAAAGATTTTTTTCTAATACAAATTTACATATATTATTATAAATTATATGGAAAATAATTTAATATTTTAAGAAAAATAAAAGTAAGGGTTTGCTATATTAGCTTGTTAATTCTAATATAATGTAATGAAGAAGTGTATGTTATTTATCATAATATGAATGAAAGCATGAAGCATTGGAATGTGGGATAGAATGGTATTGGAAATGAGAAGGTTCTTACGAGTTTGACTTGTGAAAATTATATACATTTTTACTAAAAATTAAATTAAAACCATGCTTAATATCCAGCTAAAATAACTAAGCGTTGATGTATAATACACGGAAGTTATCATGAAAGAGAAAATCAATTTTAAGTACATAGCTGACAAACTCTTCTTAGTTAACAATATATTGTAGGGTATAATACTGTAATAGTGTTTTAGAGGATAATATTGGTCTGACCAATGCACAGTAGGTATAGACTTAAGAGGTGTTAATAATTGCAATTAATAAGCTATTTACTTCATAAAATCTAAGGTAATTTGACATGAAGCTGATACTTTCAATATGTAGATTAAGACTAAATATCTTAAGTTTTAGCTCAGGATATTAGTCATTTAGTTATTTTGAAAAAAACATAATCATTTATCAAAATTAATATGAAACAATATTTTTACATCATCAAAAAAATCAGAAGCTTTGAACCATCTCATGTGTTATATCTATTACTATTGATTATAGAATAAATAGAAGATTATAAAATAATCTATTCTATAATAAATACTATTACAAACAATCCATCAAATTTTTATAAATAAAATAAGTTTAAAAAAAATTTCAAAATTAATATCAAAAATATTATTACATTATTCCTTTATTTATTTAAACAAATTGTAATATAACAAACAAATGATGCCTATAATCTATACAGTTAAACCACAGAATAAATGAAAATAATTTATTTTGTGATTAAACCAATACTAACATCATTTTTTCATTTTAAAATATATAAAACTATAAATAAAACAACAAGATTAAATTATTAATTAAAAAAACAAACAGTCTTCGGGAAACTTTTAAGAATAAAAAAAATTATTAGGATTTTTAAGATATTATTAAAAAAATTATAAATATACTTAAATAGATCATAAATCAATATAGCACCTAATTAAATTTAAGTCCTTCATATATTATAATGGTTTATACAAACACAAAATAATAATAAATATATTAAGAGTACACTATTATATAGTAGTAAGTAGTAGTCAATTTAAATCATACAATTAATGGTGGCCTTAGTAAATCAATTGGTTATTTATTTTTTTCCACAGTTTACTACTGTGCAATGGTGTAAAATCATAAATTCTTTTTCAAATACTATAGCTTTAAATTATTATAATAGATCTTTGATTATCATATTGGATACAAATTACGAGGCGATCTAATTGAAATGTCTATTCAAATGTATAGGACACAACAAATATAAAAACATCAACATTTTAGTATGTTTACAAATTATGATAAATTAAATACTTGTTAGTAAAGTTGTAACAATATTTTGTTACATATTATGTTGAGTAAACTAAAATGACTCTTCTAAATACTCTTCTTAAAAAAAAAAAACTGTCCGATTGACTATTTTAACCAATAAGGGGCCATATTTTAAATGTTGATTTTCATAGCTATGCTTACAAAAAAAGGTTAGTAACTTCGATTAACTTTTAACAATTTTTTTTTAAGAAGTTATGTATATTATTTTAATCTTAATGTTAAGGATAATTATGTATAGAAAATATTATATTATCTGAAGTATTTGCAACTGCTTTTTGTTTATTTGGTGTCATCTTTCGTTTTTTTTGATTTTTTTTTAATATTCCACTTTTTTTAATAGTTTTATGGAGTGGGCCTGATTTTCCTTTTGGTGCCACAGCAATAGTCATAATGGGTTGCAATAATTTGGACGTAGATGGATTCATCAGATCATAAGATATTGAAGATTTCTTTGTCTGGAATAAATTTAATAACTTAAATTATCTAACAATATTATTCATGTAAATAAATAAAATATCATTCTAATATTTAATAGCAAGTAGTATTTAGTTTGTTCATAATCAATAAACATTTAAAAAATTAAATTGTTTATATTACAATTGTTTTAAATAATTGCTTATACTAATGTTTGATTTCAAACACAAAATTACTACCAAGCAAAAGCTAAATATTTGTATGCAAGTACATATCAAAAGTTTATATCAATATCACCAAGAGCCACAATGAAAAACTATATATAGAATTGTATATTCTTACTTATAGGCCAATTTCCATTATTTATACACAAATGTTGGAAATTGTTGAGAACCTCTTTCAACCTAAAGAGCCATTAAGTTCTCTTTTTCAAGTTTAAAAACTAAAAAAAAAAGCTTGGAATGGATGCTTTTCTAAGAGCATATAAAAAAAATTACATTTTAAATTACAATAAAATAATGAATTTACTTGTTTTGATGTAATTGGTGTATCAACACTTAAACTGCTTGTAGATTTTGATCCTAATCGTCGATTACGGCTACAATCATTAATGATATTTGAACGTAACAGCTCCCTTAAACCTGCCAATGATTTAAATTCACTGCTATCTAACCGACTGTTTGGATTTAAATTTGATAAATCCAAAATTGAAATTGCCAATGATTTTCCAACCTATAAAAAAATTAAAGCAATTTAATATTTTTGTCAGATACATATTGCATGATAGCTTTTTAACCTGTTCAAAAACAGATGGTGTAAATTTAGGTGGAATAACACTTTGAATAGGTCTTCTTTCAGAAACAAAATGCACTTTAGGAGGAATGTAGTTAACAAATCTGCCAGTATTGTAGTTACATTCTAAAGTATAACTACGTATAAGACCTGTATATTTAAGAACAGCAACTCGACCACTTCCTTCTTTACTTAGACCAAATTTCTTATCCCTGAAATGTATAACTAATTTAAAATACAAATACTTCATTATTACTTAAAATTACTCAATTTTTGAATTGTACAACTAAAACAAAATTAAATCTTTTTGCTCTTATCAAATTTTTAAAATTACAGCAACTTAATAGATGATAATTTTTAAGTAATTAAACATAAATTTAGTTATGTATATATAATATATATATTTATTATTTTATATCTTATTAAACTACCTGCAGTAAATTAAATCACTAATCTTATGAGAATGATTGTAAGTTTGAATTGTTAGTAACATATCAAAATATAAACAATAAACAAAAACTACAATCATTATTAAATAAGTTATAATGTATATTAAAAAAAAATGTATTTAACTGTTATAAATAAATACATTTTAGATTATGTGAAAATCATGAAATTATTTTTTCATTTTACTTATGTCTTAAAATATGTTAAGTTATTACTACAGAAATGAAATATAGCTTTACTATATTATACATTTTTATATTTATTTTTTAACTCCACTCAAAATAAAACAATAAAATCTAATGTTTTTATTTTTATGTACGACAATTTTTTGTAGTAGAAAAAATACTCCCATATGTCTTTTAATAAGAAAGCAAATCTAGTTGAATTTAAGGGATTAAAAGTAACAATAAAAATTTCTCAGTATTTATCTGAATTAAAAACGAAAAAATAAAAATAGAGGATAACTAGAATTTTTATAGAAAATTAGACTTAGACAAACTTTATCTTGTCCTTTTGCTGTAATTTAAAAAAAAAAAATTATAGATACATGAAATTTTCATCAATGACATTATTGATGGGGACTTGAAATGCACATTTTTATATCTTGATAATAATATTTTCAAAATATTTAAATTCATTTTTAATTATTGCCAATATAATATACTACAAAGTACAAACCTATCCATCCACACAGTTCAATGTTAAAATTACTATAGTAGAAATATGAATATATAATTATTATAGTAATAAGGCTTCAGATCTTTAGAATATTTTTTTACAGGTAATGATTTGCTATTTAATTCAAATTTAACATTTTTCTTTTACAGTGACCTGTTCAATGGCTAGGTACACTTTAAACATACCTACAATTACGCAGCAGAATAGTTATTTACTTGTCATCTACTTTTATTATTATTATTGTTTTAGTTAAACCTAAAAAATGTTCAGAATAAATAATACTTTTATAAGTTATATGTATTCTAGACTTCTAGGTGTGACTTGGTAACCAATAATTGGAAATTTAGAATTACATTTCATGAACTCTTTCAACATCCTCAAATCTCTACTATTTATTAGTGTTACATAATAGTAAGTTTTTTTTTTTAGATTATTTTATAAAATATTGATAATTTTTATGGTTTGAACTCCTTCTCGAAAAACCATATTAATGGCTATATTGCCTATATCCAGACTCAAAATAATAATTAGAAAATAATTACCAACGGTGATAACTGATAAATATTTACAAATGTAGCACACGTAGCGCCTAACAATAAAAATAACAGAAGTGTTATGCAAATATTTATGAAGCTAAGATAATTAACTGTATTTATATGGTTCTATAATTTAAATTTTCCTTATTTTGGTTTTACTTGAGACTTTTTAAAATAGTGATCTTATTCAACTTTAGAGATATCCCCATTACTTTTGTTGTAATATAAATTTGATGATTTTGTATTCGTTATACATACTAAATATATTATTTAAGCTAACATTATTTCATGATAAAAACCGAAGTAAAATAATTTAAATTCTTACTTAGAATACATATTACGCTTGCTGAAATTACAAGAAGTGTAATGAAAGTTTTGATTGTTTATAGTCATAAGTGTGGGATAAACCATACATTCAATGTTATCAGCTATGTTGTCAAAATTATTTCCATACATAAATATCCCTAATATAAAACATAGATTAAACATAATATACAATAAAAATAAAAATTAAGCAACTTCACAAGTTGTTAACCTTTTTTGGATGCATGGCCATGAAAATCAACATATAAATACAATCCAGAGTCAAGGCCTTTATTTGTAAAACAATCAGCTGTACGCGTTTGACTCTTCTTTAATAGAACATTGAACGAATCTACATCATTATTTAAAACTGTTGGTTTCATTTTAGTATTTAATTCATCATTGTTAACCGATGAACTACAAAAAACTGATGTAGAATTTTCTTCGATTAATTCGTCTCGTAATTCATATCCAAAGTGATGGTACAAGATCAATGATCTATAACATATATCACAGATTTAATTTATTGAACAAAATTTTAAAGTACAAATGTAGCTAAGTTAAAAAACCTGGCAGCATAAATAGATGGATGAAGTTTCAAAGATGGTTTTAGATAAAACCTGTTGAGATTACAACCTCTAGTATCTGTACGATAAAATCCTCTAGCAACTCCATCTGGATTTAGCATGGGAATAAGTTTAAAAACATAATTTTGACGTAATATATTAGCTTGTTCATCTTTACTAACTAAATATTTTATCAAACCATTCATCACAAAACTAGAAGGTGTTTCACCTGGATGCACTCTAGCACTCATTACTATAACCTATAATTAAGTTATAAAACAAAAAAAGTTTAATAATTTTAAGTTATAGTGGTCATTTTTTTTAATATAAATTTAAAAATATTTTATTTTATTAAATTGAAAGATATTACACAGAAAAAGTTGAAAATAAAAATATTATATATGTTTATTAAATCAGTTTAAATGTGTTTTATAATTTATATTATTATTAAGTTTAAATACCTTTTTATTTTTGAAAACATATGACCTAGGTTTTTCCTCTGGAAATAATCCAAACAAACGACATTCCCTTTCTTCTGAAATACCTTTGAAGGAACTAATAGTTAATAAATCCACAGAACGATTTTCTAAGGATTTTACAATAGTTTCTCGATAAAAATAAACATCTGTCTCATTGACTTCTAAATGGTATTTTAAAATTAAATTTCATTAAATAAACACATTCAAAGAATTATTAATTGGAAAATACCTCTTAAATCTGACGGTAATGAAAATTGTTTTTCATAAAAACTTAAGCTGTTACATAGCTCAGTATAAGTGTAAGGATAAGTAAAAGCATAATATGTTGTAGCTTCAATATTTTTTAAAGAACGATGACTAAAACTCAATACAAATTCTTGATTATTGTTTATCTAAAAAAAATACTTAACTGATAGGTTCATTCACTTCTTATAATTTAATTTACAGACATTACTATTTAGTTAATAAACTAGTTAATGAACACACAATAAGTTTGCAAACATTAATTAAATACCTGATAAGTTGGTATTTCTTTTATTCTTGACCACGATGCTTTACAAAATTTTTCATTTGATTTATCAGATTTTCCTAAATCAACTTTAAATACAGGAGTCATGCCTTGACTATACATTTTACTTTGATTATTTGAACTCACTATATTTAATCTTACATGCATACCAGGAGTACCTCCTTTAAAATAGTGACTTAGTTAAAAATCTTTAACTTTTTTATTATTATACTTAAATGTTCTTTTACCTTTTAAGGCAAAGTAGAACCATGACTTGTAGTTGCATTCAAACTCTGTGCCACCACAGTCTGGGTTTGTCCATAAATGAAATTCCAAATCTTCGTCTACAATATTACACATTACATAAACTTAGCATACACTTACATAATCAATAGTTTAATAATTGTTATCGCACCAATGCCAGGAATCTGTTTGCTGACATATTTTACTCGAGCGAGATTAGCAGACTCAAAATTGCTCAAAATTGTATATGAGTTATAAATAAATACACCCGGCTGTACCTCGGGTACAATGTCTGAAGTAATACTCATCTTAGCCTTAGATAATTCTATGATGCTTCATGGAAAGACGATGAGGTTAAACAATTGAAATTTACCGATTGTTGAGAAAACTTGCAACAGCTGTGTACGAAAATAGTTTAATACATAACTGACTGTATATTGTATGCGTCCTAAGATAAAATTTAAAAAAGTTTTTGATGAGATGTTTCAATATCGTTCACATTTCACAATTTTCGTCCGACGTGATCTGAAATAATTAATATCAAATATATGGATTCGGAATCATGAGAGTTAAATTGTATTACTGAGTACAGACATACAATTAGAAAATAATCATGTTAAATAATTAAACAATAAATATAATTTTATAAGTATCATTAGAAACATTTAAATAAATAAATAACGAATAACTAATCGGAAAGTACAAAATAATAATATTATGTTCAAGGTGTTTATTATTTTATAATACCTTTTCTTTTAGGTGGATCCAACTTGATTGCATAATTGTGAAATGTGTTGTTATTATTGTTAAGCTAAGCAGCTGATTTTTAATTGAATATTCCTTTAAAGGATCTGGTTGTTTTTTCCATGATCTTATCAAACAGTCTATTGTTTTGGTTATTGTTTTTCAACAATTGTGAATAGTATCCCTATTTTGTTATTGTTATTTACTAATTAATTAATAGCTTTATATTTAAGTTATACACACAGATACGTTTTTTCTTTAGTAATATAATATACTAGTATAGTAAATAGTTTTAAACTTTAGTACCCATTACACTTATGTTAGATTATTAAACATAATGTTCTAGTTCTGTGGTTAAACGACTGTTATTAAAACAAATCAAAGGAATTTATTTTAAATTTTGTTTTTTGACAATTTAAAATTGTTTACATCGTATTTAATTTCTATTTTTGTATTTGATTTTATTTTAAAACAATGGTTAATACAAATACATTTTTTTTATTAGTACTTATAGCTTTTATTTCCACTTTAAGATATGGTAAATATTATTTTGAATATTTTAAAGCATGTTGGGTTTAAGGTGTGGTTTTAAATTTAATATAAGAATTTTTTTATTTATTTTGTTTAGCTGCAAGTATATCATGTTACCAATGCAATAGTACTGATATCAATGATCAATTTCGTTGTACTGAGTCTATGGATACGTATGGCCTAGACCCTCAACCTTGTACAAGTGTTTACAATGCTGCTTATTGTGTGAAACTGATAGGTCGCTATGAAGGTACCTATATTATGAATATAATTTTTGAAAATTCCCAAAAGCATTATTCGATAATTTATTGAATTTTTGTATTTTTTAATTTTTATAGGAGGACTAGGAGTTACGCGTTATTGCTCATCACATGATTTGGGAAATTACTGCAATTATGTGCAACGACCAGGTGATATATTAGAATATCGAACATGTGTTTATACTTGTGATTCTGATGGTTGTAATGGTTCAAGTCAAGTAAAGTTATTTGGATATTTAATTGGTATATCATTTTTGCCATGGTTTATAAATATATTATTTTAATTATTAACGTTACCAAAATAATCTGATATAATTTATTAGTAGGTTACTTATAGCATATTTTAACTATAATAATTATTATTCATTATTTTATAAATAGATCATAGATATAGTAATGAATTCTACAGTTTTAAATATACCATCTATTGATATTCATACAATTTTTTGGCCTTGAAAGTAAGGATGTTTAGTTGTGTAAAATCAATAATGCTTAAATTTGTTATGATCTGATCAAATATTATATATCGTAATAAATTAAATCCACTGAATTAAAAGTAACTATTTATTTTTTTAAATAATATTGATAACAAATTCATGAAATGCAGTATTATTAAATTAGTATATATTATCAAAAAAGAAAAAAAAGTAAAATAAATAAATAGTGTGACATGTCAGCTAATAACCAAATGTTGTTGAGTCTTATTTCTAATAATAAAGAAAAAAAAAATCATGAATTTAATATTTTTTTCATAATATGCATGTCCCATATTATTTTATTTATCACTTAAAATACTTAAACTTCATATTATTAATCAATACAAATGATTGTTAATTTTATATATTATTTTTATCCAAATCATAAATTTCATTATCAACGTATTGGTATATTGAAATACTTTGAAATTAACATTTTTTTTTTTCAGTATTTTATTTAATAATTATTATTTCTTTGACAAAATCATAAATAAATTGTAACAATAATGTTTTATTCCATGATGTATATTATTGATATGCAAATTATGTTTGTAACGCCTATTAAAACTCTATTAATTTTTGATGCACCAATAAAATTAAGTTCCAATTATTTCTAGCAATATAATAACATAAAAAAAACAATTATTTGTATTGGTTTATGTCTTTTAGTTATATTTTTTAAATTTTATATTATTTTTTTAACGTTTTATTAGTAATATTTTTATAAAACTACAAATTATATACAAATTCACAAATACATTTTTTTTTCTTTATTAGGAATCTTAAATCATCATAGTAATAGTAATACTAATAATAATAATAATAAATTGTTAAATTATTATAAAATTTATAATAGTTTTTTTATTCAATGTGTTCAAATTAAAATTAAGATAGATGTAAACATTTTTTTAAATGTCATGTTAGTTCATTAGAAATAATAATTTTGATATTCATATTGTAATAAATAATAATGTAATACAACCAATCCGTCCAATTGTATGACTGAACCAAATTATGTTTAAATTATATTTTTAATTAAATATATACTTTAAAATAGTGTTTTTTTTATACTGTTTGTATTATTATTATTATTATTATTATCAAATAAATTTTATGATTGTTGATTAACAAAAATATACATGTTTATCTATCTATTACCATCTTTTGAAATTTTAAAGAGTCCAAAAAAACTTTTTACAGGATCCAAAATTATAAATCTTTCACTATCTAAACCTCTTATGGATAAGTTATCTTTAGAATTAAAATAAATTAGACCTCCAGTATAACACGAATCTGATGATTGGGTATCTTGATGTCGAGTTGAAGTACAACCAAGTACTTTTACATCATTTTTCATAACATAATATCCATTGATGTCATGTTTATCTGAATAGTAAATCTAAAAAAAATATATATAGTATATTTAATTGTTATGATTCAATTACTTCATAATTTTAACTAATCACTAAATTATTATTCTTAACAGTGTTATAAGTGATTTTATATTAACAAACTTTTTAAAAAATATTCACTTATAAATTCTAAAGAGAAAATTGAAAAATTGTTTTTATTTTTTTTTTATTTAAGTCATGCACATAAATTATAATAACAAATTATAATACTATAAAATAATTTTTATCTTTGTAATTAAAATATGATTGTTATTCTAAAAATTGCATAGATACTATGAAAATCAGCTTAATAATATGTATCATCTTACTTGAGCGTAAACAAAATAAAGTCCTGGTTTTAATACTTCAACTTTGCCATTTTTCATTGTGAGGTAATTTGCGCTGTTCAGATTCATTTCCCAAAGATATTGGGTCCAGTCTCTAAAATCACCATCTGGGTGTTTCAAACGTCCATTTCCTATGGAATTTAATTATTTACTGTAATTGCTTAAAATTATTTATTATATTTCTTTACTAAACTAAATATATGATAATATTATTTTAATTGTATAACCTTAAGTTACATTATATACTTAAAAGCATAAAATATTTATTTATTAATTATTATTAGTTATTACCATTGTAATGTGGATGTGTTTTAGTACTATATTGTGATGAGTCGCTTGTAAAATGTGCTGCTGCAATTTCTTGAGTTTCTTTAAAATCTTCGTACGATTCTTCATCTTCTGATTCCATAGATTGTTTTTTTTTTAACATTCCCAGTTTTTTAGACTTTCTTCGACCATACGTCTTCACTGTATTTTCTTCTTGAATTATTTCTACATCAGCCTTTTCATTTTTTGAGCTTAAATTAAAAATTAAAATAGACATTTTATTTATTTCATCTTTTAAAATAATTTTTATCTCATTTGTATATATTATAGTTAAAGACAGTTTATTTACATATTATCTACAGAATGTAAATCAGCTTAACATAAAACAATCTAGCTGTAATTTTTCTTATTGTCCTCTGTTTCTCTATTAACTAACTTTACTAAATTAGTATTAAAGGTTCCTCAGCTTAAATGTATAAACAAAAAATTAATTTTATATTCATTATTAGACTTAATTGTTAAATTGGAACTATTAAAATTAGTTGAATATTGATAATATAAGATCAAACTAAAAATTTTAACTTATTAACAATTATATAAGTAAAAAAAAAATTACCTGTTTAATTCATTTTTCACTATATTTGTCGTATCAATCACAGCATTACGTCGATCACGGTTTTTTGATTTATGTGATTCATTTACTTGATATGTTTTTGCTGGCCAATTATTGTCCAATAAGTCTCTACCCATAAATCGATCTTCTCCTTCATTATAGTCCTCTTCTATATCTTCATAATCATTTCCATCAATTTTAACTTTGTGTTGATCTTTGTATGTATTGCTTACATGTTTTGCTACTAGTTCATTTCTAACTATATCAGTGAAGGTATTCAAATCATGAATTGCATCCTCAACTGTACCTACAAGTCGATTGATTTGTTGATTAGTATCTATGTGCCATTTGTAGGACAATGTAACAGTCAATAGACAACTAAATATGCACAATAACACAGAAAAAATTATAACTATCATTTGTATTGATATAGGAGATATAGGAGATTGCTTGATAGACGGCGACATGTTGTAATTACGAGTGAATCCGTTGCCTCCAACGTACATGTTTTGAGGACTTGTCGTTGTGTGTTGAGGATTTACATACTTCTGGGACGTAGCAGAGCACATCGTGTTTTGTAATGATTCTCATACTGCATCTTTTATAATATCAAATGTTTTTTGAACCTGGATATTTAAATTAAACATTTTTATCTAATCTTTAAATAACCTTTGATCTTTTATCACTAGAAACGTAAATAGTTTTCTTTGTGTGTTTAGTATTGCTCCAAAGTGACCTATAATTGATTTCAGTATTATAATTCAGAATTACTATCGTATTGAGCCGACTAAAACTGTAAAATAGATTTACCTTGTTTTAGTATCTATTTAAGTACGTTAATACGTCAGGTAGGCACATACTGGTACCTACATATTATTTAGATTATGAATAAACCTATTGTTTGAAATATCAAATCACTTTGATCACGGTTTTCTCAATACTATGTACTGAATTAGATAGATATATTAGTATTTAATACTTTGTAATTTACTGTATTTTTATGTATAATGTTGTAATAAATATTCAGTATTTAAAATTATTTTTCATAATAATTTAGGTTTTTTTTTTTCATTAATTTTATGGGTTTATATCACAAATATTTCCTATTAGAAATGAGTAATTTTTCACAATCGTTAAAAATTGAAGTTTGACAAATTGGTTTTACAAATAACAATAATTGATATATTAAATATATCTAATATATTTATATATAGTTATAGAAGATAATACAAGTGCTGATACAGGATTTAGGTGGGCTATTGCTTATTGGTTACATAAAACAGGTGTATTAAAATTGTGTTGAGATATTAAATTTTAAAACAATATGTAGTAATTGAAAATTACACTTGATAAAATTTTTTAATCTTTTCAACTTTTTTGTGTCTAATTTTCTTACATTCATGAGAAACTATTAATACAATTTTACAGTATTAATTTCGTTTTACTGAAAACAATTATATGAACACATGAAAAACAATTACCGTATTAGTATCAGTCCTTTTACCCAAATAATCTAATAAATTTCAAAATAAAACGTGAGTTATTTTAATTCTAATTTGCGGAGACTAGTTAAGTTTGGTGTTTTATTTTAAATTTTAAATCTTATGTCCAAGTGTCTAACCATATCATAGAAATATTTAAATTGATATTTCGATATAACAGTATAAATTTATTTAGCTGTTTAAATAATTAATTTTTAATACAATTATATTGTTCATTTTTATTTATTTTATATTTTGATGGGAACGTAATAATTTTTCAATGATGTGTGTTTTTTTTCCATTTTTGGGAGCATTTTTAATTATCAGGGTTTGGGATTTATAGCACTTGTAATTGTCAAAATAAACGCTTGAATACTGCATTATAAGCATTCAAATAAGCATTTAAAAATATTAAAATAAACAAAAAAAAAGAAAAAGCTCAACAAAAACAATAAACACAGTTTTTTTTCTTGATACCGTTTAAATTTTATCATTTAAAAACAAAAGGAAAAAAGGTAATTTTTAAAAATTTAAAATATTTTCCCTTTTTTAGTATTTGTGAACATATTAACTTAAGTTATACTTTTTATGGATTTTCTAAATAATAAATTTAAATTTATAATATAAGAATAACCGAAGAAAAATTTATTTTATAAAAAAAAGTTTTATTTTAAAATATTTCTCATCTTATTTATTGCATTGAATAATCAAATGTTTTCTAAAGTTAAATAGAAAGAATATTTTTTGTCTTAATTTTACTGTAAATACACAAAAATAAAATCAACAATAACTAAAAATTCTAGATTTTCGTCAGTATGGTCCATTTCATAATTAAGCAGAGATTTGCAAAATAGTAAAAATTATCAGAAAAACTAGAAAAAACAATTTGTCTTTAAAACCATCGACATAAGCAAAAAAGAGCACTTTCAAATTTCATATTTGTATCATTGTAAACATGGACATGAGTTTCTCTAGTATTCTACATTTACTTTGATTTTATGTTAAGGCAAAAAAATAAGCAAATGTTTGAAGTCTTGAACCCTGTTAATTATTAAGAGTACGTCGTACTCGTTTGTGCTGTCTCCGTCTCACTAAGTACATTGTAGAAAATTTGCGTTTAGCAGAATTTATTTTATGCTATTTGTTTTAATATAAATTTTATTTTATTTAAAGCAGGTTCACTTAATATCAAACTTAAAGGTAAAAATCTGAATGCAAATTTGCCATGTTGTACGTTAGTAAAATAGAGACACCATGTATGGGCATGATTTTCTCTTAATTTTGAGAGGTTAGATTTATACTTAGGCGGGTAAGCCATAAATAATTACAGTAGCTACTTCTCAAATAGTTTGGAAAAATAAACAAATTATTGTTAAAATGGGAAATTTTTTACAATACTTTTAGATTTTCCAGTAAAATTAAATTTGTTGTTTTTGTAGTAATTAAAAACGAAGAACTGTAGAGACCTAAATTGGTCTCATAACATTTATATATACATTTTTTAGGTTTGATAAAATGTTTAAAATATTTTTTTGTTACATTTATAGACGTTTGACAATTTTTCATATTTTTAGTTTTTTTTTTTTTTTTTTGATTTATGTAAGAACAAAAAATATTAAACTATAAGTACAAGGTTTCTTTATAAGTTGTGCTCATTAAAGTAAAAATATATTGAAAATTCATAGTTTCTATTTTTTTATTGAACTTAAAACAGTGTTATTTAAACTATTAAATTCACGAAAAAATGTAAATTCGTTTAAATATATCTATTAATACTTATCTACAGTATAATAACAGTATTAATATAATAATCCTTGTATATCATAATATATTAATATATATATATATAAAAAATATATTTTGTCTAAATCTAAAAATTCATTATGTTGATAACAATGGTAAGTGGTCATCACAATTATTACGTCATTACGGTGACAGACAAAAATTACATATTTAGATTTCATTAATAATCTTTACAATTTTTAAATGCATAAATAGTGTGAAAATATGTTCAATTAAAAATATAATTTTGTATTTTAAATATCAATATATATTAAAAGTATTGATTAGTTTTATTTATATTATTTTATACTCTTATTGAGAAGGAATTTAAAGAGAAGATATAATGAACTGTAATGAAAAAGATTAAGTAAGTTAAAGAAATGATAATTTAGTAGTGCATTTTTTTCAATATGTGTTAGTGTTTTGTCCTGTGGAGGATATAGCTAAAACACGTTATTATCTTTAAAATTTTAGTCTTGTTAGTACTTAATATCTATTTTGCGTGAAATTTTAACCAATTCAGGAGTCCATTTAGATGGGTTTAAGATATAGCTAGTTATTGTATAAGTAATAGTTATGCCTAAGCCACTTAGATTTTAAATGAAATAAAATTTGATCATCATGTAATAGTGGGTATCTATATGAGATTAAAGCCTCGAAGGTTAACTTGTTCTCTAATACTATATAATCTAGAATAGTATAAGCGACTGTTATATTGTGGCATGATGATCACACTAAAGCAATAATGGTTTTATACTCCAAATAATGATAATGCAAATTAAATCAATTAAAATATATTGATAATTAAACTCTAAAACGAATTATTACCTTACCAATTACCCTAATCCAAGAATTAAAAACGGAGTGACTTTTGTACTTATTCATAATGTACGCTAACGAAGTTTTTTTTCTATCTATAAAATTCGAAAATTCTCAGAAACCTGTTTTTAAGTCGCATACTCGCATATACTAATATATTTTATATACATGCATGTTTTTAAATATTGATAAATAATTGTATTCAGATATTTGTTTGTCTATTTCCGGCAAGTGTGCATGCTAAGTGTTTATGTGGGAAATAAAAAAAAAACTCATATTAAAATATTATGTATACAAATAATTGTATACTTTAAATACCACACGATTCGACATTAAATTTCATTATTTCAACTAATAATATTCATCATTATTGACTGTATGAAAATCAATATTCTGATAAGTTATAGAATATGATTTATAGTTTATATTATTAGTCATTATTCAACACATAATTGTATTATAGTAGAATTGTAAACATAATGTTTTATTTGTTTCATATAAGTTTAATTATTGATAAGACAATATAAATAGACAAGAGCAGTGGTAGGTTACTAGGTACACGTTTTCACAGTCGTATCAAAATTATGATTTTTTTTTTTTTTTTATCACATAGTGTTTACTGTGTTATCATTTCTAGGTATCAGTATCACTGCGATTTATTGTATCTCCTAGTCTAGAGCAAATAGTTTGTAAAGGTTCAAAGAAATTTAGTATTTTTAGCAATAATTAACGAACTAAAATTTACATTTTATAGTAAAAAAAAAGTAGACGATAATGCGTGTTCAATTTTTATAATATTAAAATAAAACAACTATTTTGCTCTTTAATATATTTTAAAACAGCGTGTTTATTTAATTTTATGTATTATTGTTTACTCTTCAGTTTATTTCCCCATTCATGAAAAATCTCAAGTAATACTCCGATTGTCACTCCATATCCTGTTGGATAATGTTGACGAGATTTTTCTTCACCATCACTGCCCAATTTAATTGCACTATACTGCAAGTTATATTTATATTTTAAAATTTTGTTTAGGTTACTCATAATAATAATTTACTTTTTTGAATAGAGTTCCAGTCTGATTAAATCCCACAAAATTTGTGTTCACCCATGAACTGGCTAAATTGAATGCTACCTTTTGCGCTTTTTTGCTTCTAGTTGAATGTAATCCAAAAATGATCATTGATTGTAATTGTGGCCAACAATTAAAATAGTCCCAGTCTAGACCAGTGTTATAAAAAGACGTTGGTACGCCTATATAAAAACATGTTATGATTATTGAATATATGAGATTTTTTCGATTTTTTTGATTTAAAAATATTTATAAAATATGTTGATTAATCTTATCAATATTTAACAGTGTTGGTCAAGTTATTTTTAAAATGTATACAGAAATAATTTTATTTATTAAATAAATCAAATTGTAAAGACGTTTTTTTACCCTTTAATAAGAGTAATAATTAATAACTACCTATGTTCGTTGGTGAAATTGTTTAAGTACTTGTGTGTGGTCAGCACTTCTAGTTTTTAAATTAGCACTATCATCGTATATACCATTTGTGGTTTGTTAGTTTTTTTTTTTTTTTTTTGATAATATTGTTTATTTTTTAAACAATTACTAAGTATATTAATGTTTGATTATTCAATTAGTGATGCTTCTCCCTCCATTATGGGTAATTTATAATTATTGAATGACTAAAAAACAGGGATTTAGTACCACCAATTTTTTCATTGCATCCCTGCTTATATTATTTTTACGTTTGGTACATAAAAAAAAAAAAAAAAATTGTTAACTTATTAGCTTACACCAGTATTTCTTATAAATCAACAAATAATTGTACAAAGAAAGTAATTGGTCATAAATATATTTTATTATTTTTGGATAACTATAGTTTTTAAATTTTTGACTATTTGTTGGAGTCTTTGAACAAATTATAATAACGTAATCGTTGTAATACATAAATTATAAATTAATAATTTTATACTCTTACATATATAACGAGGTGTCAAATCTTTATTTATAATATTGTTTCTTATTAGATACTCCACTGCTGAATCGCCGTAAAATTCACTTAATTTATCATCATAACTTCCAGTCCACAGAGGTGCTAAATTAGATGCATAAAAATAATTACGACTTTCTGCTATCGTTGTGTCAAAATCTAACCACATTTTTTCATCTTCGTTCCATAATAACTGTTAAAGTTAAATAGTGAAATACGTATAAATTAACATAAACATATATTATACTATTATCTTATGTATAATGCGATTATATTTAAAAACACTTACTGCGTTTATTCCGATTTGATAACGATGAGCGAGTTGCTTATAAAAATTTGAGTTCGCCTGATCATTAACTATGAGATATAAATTTGATAGAATATTGGAGTTTGATTGCATTATAGAATTCAATTCAACATATGCAAAATTCAGTGGATTTGTTTTCAATAATGTTTCTGTGAGTTTTAAATATTGTAGAATTCTTAAATACTAATAAATAAAATTTTATACTTAATTTTTAAATGAGGGTAAAAACATGAAAACTTCAAACACTGCTTGAAATTTGTAGCTATTAAAATGTTTGATGATTTAAATTTTTAAATGTGCAAAAGTTTACTGTATGTCTATATAAAAGGTGTTATTATATATTAAATTTCGGTTGTCAACTCGGTGATGTATTGTTTTAAAATTTAAATATTTGTTATCAATTTGTATCAATATTAATAATAAAATACAATTTAATCGACATTTTGGATTCTTTGATTAATAATATACATTATTACCGATGTTTCAAATATATTTAAATATAACATTTTACTTCTAAAATCATTGTAATGCTTTCGGTTGTGGAAATGTTTGCTTGAAAATCCCCAGCCAGATTCGGAGGCAGCTTTTACTCTACACAAATATTCGTTTTGATATCGAACAGCAGGCAAACTCTTCGTAATGTGTACATCAATACTTAAAACATAGGGTATTTAATAATATAACAATGATATTCATTAAAATACACTTTAAATTATTCTTATGTACCTGTACATTTCAGGACGTGGATTACATGCATCGCTCATATAATGAGTCATAATATAAGTATTACCAACACTTTTTACATTAATAGATCTATATTTTATCCAGTACATCATTTCCGCATCTAGGAGCTATAATTGTAATTAAAAATAATTGTTTAGGATAAAAATATATTGGGTATTATCAAAGTCTTAGTTTAATTATAGTAATTCAGTTTTTTCTTAATAAATTATTAATTTTATTTTTTAATAATTTAATATGACTAATACGAGTATATAATAGAAGTTACGAAATAAAAAATAAGAAAAGTGTTTACATACGAAATTGCTAATTACAACAAATTTTAAAACACTGAAATACTGAAATACTGAAATTATCTTGAAAAATAACATGAGTAAAATATTTTGTTGTTAATTTAATTTATATTTTTCTCTGAGGAGTGAGAGTGAGGATCACTGATATAAATATTAAAGAAATTAGGTATTATTTTATGAGTCTAGGACAAAATCCTGCTGCCAAAATCGCGTTATGATAAAATCCCGTCCAACGGGGTCCCGTTCGGACCTAATCCCATTAAATTATTTTGTTATCAACTTTTCAATCACACTTAACTTAACCTAGGATTTGTCAATTGTGAATTTTAACGATACAAAAAACTCATTAAATGGGCTTGTTTAAAAGTTGTTTTAAAGGTATACAATTTTAATTTTTACTTTATATTTATTTATTTATTATCGTAGTCTCATATTATATAGTCCTTGTAATTTGGAAAATTAACTAATTTCTAACACTATTTACTATTTTTAATTTTAATAATTTCTAATACTATTTAGATAGGTATTATTTCAAACATTAAATTGCAAATTATGAGCAAATCCATATAGGTAGTCGAAAGTTGGTATTTCTTTAAATTTAAAATAAATAGACTCTATTTTTGCATTATACGTAAAAATTTTATAAATAACAACAATAACTAGTTCAGATAAGCAGTGGACAATTTTTGAAACAGTTTAATGAATTACGTTAAAGTGAATTTACGTACAGTACGTTGGAGGGGGGATTTTATCCGGGAGGGATTTTGTCCGAACACCTATTTTTTTACTATGATCAAGATAATCTAATTCATGAAGATAAGTTATAGGTACCGCAATATTATCAGTTATGAATTTTTCGTCTTTAGTATATTCATAATAAGTAGCCATCATTTGAGTAAGAAGTGGAGGTTGTGATCTTCCTTTATAGTATATTCTGTTTCCCATCAATACATATCCATATTTTTGAATTATATAAATAAAATTTTTTAAAATCCCTTTCACGGTAGTTTCCATTCCACATATCAACGCTCCTACAGAATAATACCATAAATAAATTAGATATATATATTTATAAATTACATAAAATGATATATAAATAATAAATGTACACATTTAATTTATATTATCTGTTATTTTGTATATACGTATAGTGTTGTTTATATTTCATTTGTCTAATATATACATAAAGCATTAAAAAGCATTCTGAGATGTTGTTAATGAACAACTCCCTCTATAAATTATTCATGTGCTATATTATAATAAAATTGTTTACAAACTATTACTTATTGTTTTAAATAACAGATTATATAAATATATATTAATAAAAAAAAAAATAAAAAGCCTAATATATGATGTATTGTGTAACCTAATTGTAAAACCTAATAATATTCTATTGATAAAGGTAAATTTGTAATATCATCAATTTCAGTATTTAATTTATTTAGTGCATACTTTAAATTGAAAATGTTTGTAGAAAAGCTTTTTTTTCTTTTTAATTGTACTAAAGAAATATCTTTATTATGATAATTTCAATTGATACAAATACAGTTCAAAAGAAAGTCTCATAGTTGAATGTTGAGGTACCTGTTGATTTAATTTATTAGATCAGGGTATCAGCCCCGTATAAGCCAACTATTTGTAAGGGGGATATTACATGAAGTATGTTTACGGAGATTTATACAAGATGAATTGGTTAGGATTTGAATAAAGTTTTGGTTTGAAATTTAGTAAAAAAGTGTAGCGGTTTTGCTGATTGAATGGATTTTAAAATTAGATTGAAAATTTATATGTTGTTGCAATAGATTATTTATTTTAATTTTTAAATGGTCTAATATGTTATTTAAATTAAAATATAAATTTTCTTGAATCTATATTATAATGAAAAAATAAAATATGTTTTCATAATTTTTGAATTACATTAAGATAGTACCTATTACGATAGGTATATCAAAAAAAGTATCATATTATACCTCTTATTATCCAATATGCATCCCAATAATTAAATTCATTTTGAAATTCCATGTTTACAAAGAATCCGTTTGGTACATATATCAATGAATAAAGATCTTTGTCAGTTTTAACTTTTTCGGATATTTTTTTTGCCAATTTTTTCCAAAGCTGGTTTATTCCAGACAAGAATTCTCTTTGTATAAAACAATATCATGGTTAAACATTTTAATTTTAGTTAAGTTATTATTAATAAATAAAAATAAAATTTAGCATCATTGTTTAAACATGTTTGAGAAAATAATAAGTTATCATCACATTTTATTAACATTTGTAATAGAGAGAATATAGAAATTAATTCTAAATTTAAAATAATTGGTTACCAAGTCCTACCTAGAAGTCTAGAATACATATAACCTAATGGTATTTATTGTACTATTTAGCCTGAAAAAATATAGGCACTTCCGAAATATTTGATAGATTTTTAGATTCTAAGTAGAGTGATGATGTATTGGTTTTGCTATGATAAGTGACATTCATTGAGTGTATAATTTTTAATTTAGGTTTAAGTTTTAAAAATATATTTTATTACCTTCTGGAGAATTAAAAATGTTATAACTTTCAAATTTAAGGGTAGTTATTGGTAGTAACTAGGATCTAGTTGGTACTTAAGGGAATAAGGGTATTATATAATACAAATCTTAAATTTAAAACACTAAATGACCGATTCGTATACTTGAAAGATTTTGTTATTTTACAGTTATTTTTAAATAAATTATTTTAAGTAAGTATATAGTGTTGTAATAAAAAGTTTATTTGTGATTAACCAGTATCTACTGTCTTATAAGTAGTGTAATGTTTTTAATTTTTTCAATATTGTTTTTAAAAATAAAAACAAAATTAAGTGCTACTCTACAAAATTATTATAAATACTATTTATTCTGAAAAATTATAGTCACAGCTAAAACAATAATAATAATAATAATAAAAATAGTGGGTAAGTAATCACTCTGCTGTGCAGTCGTAGGTTTCAAGCGAACCTTATCATTCAGTAGGTCGCTGTAATTGATAATATGTTAAATTTGAATTTAATAAAAATCATTGTATACAAAAAACGATTCTAATCGGATATGGTCTTTTAGCATTGTTATTATAACTATATAATTATATTTATAGTATAGTAATTTTACCGCAGAATTGTATTAATAAGTTAGTACTGTGTTTAGGCAATAGTTTACAATTGATTTACTATAATTAATTTCTTATTAGAAAATATATTGAAGTGTTTTTTTACTATAAATAATGTTTTCACACATAAAAAAGTGAGCATAACGTATGTCCAGATGACAGAAACATATAAAACGATATATACTATTTATTCTTAAAAAATTAAAATAATTATAAAAAAAACAGTGGAAAGTACGTGTTTATTCAATTTTGTCAAAATCTAGTCTTCAAATACCCAAACACAATTTTTATAAAATTTTATTATTTTTTAAAGAAAACTTAAATAGAACTTCGTATTACATTTTTAACTTTAGGTATGCATATTAAAATTTCTACACATTTTTTACTACAAAATAATTTGTAGTTTTGATAAGTTTTATAATTGTAAAACTTCAGTCTTTATAGAAATTAATTTTTTAGATAAAACAAAAAAACAAATCTATTTTGACAAAAAAATATTTTTCTATATAAATTCTTGTTTTTTTTTTCGATTATTTAAAAAAATGTTTAGTTTACTTTTGTTATATCTCCCTATTGCAAATACCCTAAAAAATCTAAGTCAATTTTGATTGCTTTAAAAGTTGATAGTCAATATACTCATCACTTCGTATCTAAAGTTATTATTAAAATACTTACTTATATGTATAATCTTGTACTTTGTCAATGATTTTTGGATGATTTTTGAAATCTGACGGTAACCATTTATTAATAGTATGTTGTTGGAAATTAGTTTTAACAAATTTTTTTAGTTCGAGTAATGGTATAGTTCCATGAAATGTATTATTCAGTGTACGAAAATCATTCAATATAGTTTCTTTTTTCTTTTTCATTTTCATATCCACAAATGTTTTAGATGCTTCAAATATTTTTGAAGTTTGGATTGTACGTAGGAAATCGCCTTGGCAATATATTGAACTACAATTAAAAATATATAATATAATATACTTTATAATTTATAATTTAATATTTTTATGATGATAATTTGTTGTTTAAATATTTCATCAGTTAAAAGTATGTTTTTACATTATTTATTATTATATTAGTAGACACAAAATTATGTTGCATAAAATAATCAGAAAATTTAATTTTTTTAAATAAAATACAATAATGAATTTAGCTGAATTTATTGCTAGAACATGATAATGTTTTTAGATTATAAGTGGAGTGATGAATATATTTATTATACAATGATGTGTTTGTTTTCTTTTATTTTTGAATAAAATATTGTTATTTAAAGTCTTAACGTAGTTAAAAAAGGATAGTCTATGAGCAATTGATACTTCGAATTAAAAACGAGAAAGTAGAATAGTAAAATGATTTTATCCATGTTTCTTATTACTATCATTATAATAAACCTCTTGAACATTAAATTCAAATTTAACATCCATCGTAGTAACTAACTCAAAATCTACTTTACAGCAGAGATGTACCAAATTTCCCACCTTTCTAAAATTAATTTTGTTGTTAAATATTTTCCTTCAGTTAAGTACAAGTTAAAACATTGTAAGAGTAGAATTTGTAGTATGCATTAGTATGCAGTTTATGTCATGCAAATGTGCAATATGATCGCATCATTCAGATAATAAACATAAATGAAAAAATAATTTTACTCTAAAGTATAAGTGATGATTAATATTTACTTTAACAGTAAAGTATGCTTGTTTATATTACCTCAGGCAAACCTCACTAATAGGCGGTGGTTTATAAGGACCACGCAATAGATTTTGAGTTGAAAGATAACCATCCAAAAACAAAATTGATAAATATATACTATATGTATACATTTTTGTTTTAGATATTATTTTATATGTGAGAATTTTAAATAAAGTTTTAATATTGTGACTGTTAATTATTACGAGTGAGATACATTATAAACTAATTAAATGATACTTTTTAATTACAACTTTAGAGACCAATTTATTTTGACATTTTCATAGCCATAATATACTATACACAGGGAAATGTATAGCAATTGTGATAATTAGATATTACGATGATTAGGATTAATGTTTTTATTTGGTTATGTTAGGGGAATATATGTACAAATTACAAAATATCATTTGAAGATTTAAACTGGCAAGTATTTTGTTACATTATAATCAACGTGGAGAGATATTTTTAAATTATGGTATAAAAAAGCTAATTGGTGTTTAAAAAATAGTTGAGTAATTAATGAATTTTTAATAAAAACAGCTAGTTTAGGATTATTGGATCATTCTGTACATACGCGTTTATTAAATAAAATGTTATAAATAATAACGTTACATGGATTATTTACACAGATGTTTTAAACAGTTGTTTTTTTAACATTTTTATTTTAATAATTCACTTTGGATCATAATAGGTACAATAAATGTTTAATGTCGATTATAGAGGAGGGTTAAACTTATATAATCTTATGTGTGTTGTATTTATGTTTGGAAAATGATTTCCCGCATCAAAATTCGTTTAGAGTTTTGATTTGAGTTTAATAAATTAATTTTATAATTTCACAAATCATTATTCAAAATGAAGTACTATAAATATTTAATTAACATTTTAAAATAAAACAAATAATTCATTATTGCTATTTCTTATATCCCACAAATCACAACTCACGTTTACTGTAAGTATTTATATTGAGCCATATTAAAATTGAGCAATTTTAAATTTAAATTTACAATAAATTTAATAATATACCTAATAACTGCTGTTCCATCTTATAATATTTATTGGTACTGCATTAAATATTGAAATAGATTAAAGACGTAATTTAATTTTTTTCGTAATCGGATAATAATAATAAATAGTTAAATTTTTTAGAGCATTATTTTTTATTATTTATACAATTTTTTATAAAATACACCAAGTATTGTTAACATATAGAAATATTGGACCTAACCTGGATAGATTGGTGATATTCTTTGTCCCAGTAAATATAAATCTAATTGTTAAATGTAAAGCATAATACACAACCTTTCTTAAATTATTTATAGATATTTTAAACTTTTTTTAACGTTTTAGTTTAAAATTGGCGAATTTTAACTTGTGATTAATAATGTTTAATTTATGTATTTTAACAAAAATAGCGATTTATATGGAAAGCACATAAAGAGCTTAAAAATTTTAAAAATTATATAATTTATAGAAAGTGCTATATAAACATTTGATGAAAATTTTAATAGTATCTATGGTTATTTGTTTTTAAATTACATACACAAAAAAAAAAAAATCTTGTTTCTGAATTACTAAGAAAAGTACTTGATATTTTTCCTCAAAAAGTTTTAATTAGATTGAATACCAGAAATGATATTGAATTTGAAGATTGAAGCATTTTTATTGCACCAAAATATATAATATAATCATTTATTATTGTTTAGAAAATAAAAGACTATTACATATTTAAATTGATCATCATAGTTTTAAATTGTGAACTTATTGTTGGACAAAATGTACAACGATACAATTTATAACAACATATTAATATATATATATTATATATACTAATTATTATCATTCTAAGAAATAAGAATGTTTTTAAATATTATCAACTATATAATGACTTTTTATTGGTAAATATGCAATTAGTTGAAACACTTGAAACCGTTTTAATAGGAAGTGGAGGTTGTGATCTTTTTAAATAATGCGTATCATTTGGCATTTTCATTCTAAGTATTATAAATTGTATTCGTTTTTGTTGTTCACCCGTGATTTATTTCATATTATTTATATTTAGGATTATCTATATTATAAAAAATAATTATAGTATTATAATAAATATTATATAAACAAAAATTGTGGCACGATTATTTTTAATGATTAATATATTAACAAATAGAAAAATGTGTGTTGAACAATATTTATTTTAGTTTCAATCCACATTCATCTTATATATTTTAAATAATAACAAACTAAGAAAAAAAAACATTTTACAGCTATCAATTAGCCAAATAGTAATGACTCATAATAAATATTGAATACATTATTTAAATATTTAAATTACATTTTTTTTTAAATTTCGTTTATTTTAGTTTAAGTCATTGTTATGTATACAGTTATGAATAATAATATAAATATTTATTTTAATTGGGTTTCCTTGTAAATATCTCCAAAATTTTGAAGTTTATGTATAGTTGTTTATTGTTAATTGTTATTATTTCTTTTAAATTTTATACTTATCAATGAAGAAATTGAAAATACCTACTTTAAACATAATAATAAAAACTATTCATATTCGTACATGACATTATTTTTTGCATTCTCACTCCATTCCTAAACAAAATAGTCATGTTGTAGTTAAAGTATAATTGTTAAGGATGAGTTAACACAATTTAGTGTTCATAAAATAAATGGATAAAGAAAAAAATATGAATTTTTATAGGTTTAAAAAACTATTAAATAATTAATTATAATATTATAGAATAGACACAATAAATAATATTAAACATATTGAAATATTGTATAGATTTTTAGATTCTGAGTGTAGAAATAGATGTACTATGATGGTTTTACTATGATGTGTGTGTGGTTTTTATTTTTTATTTAATTTTCAAAAATGAATGTTGTTATTTTTTTTTTAGAATTAAAAATGCTTAATTTTCAATTTTGAGGGTAGTTACTGATAGCAACTTGGATCTAGTTGGTACTTGAGAGAATGGGGGTATTAAACATTGAACAAATTATTTATTTTTTTTAACAAAAAAAGAATCCATTTTTGCTATATAGTAAGTTTCTAGAATACCTATTATGATTAAGTAAATTTCTGTAATGAATGTGTTAAGTTTGAGTTCATCAATAAATTGCTGTATATATAAAAAAAAACTACTAAAAATAAAAGAAACGATCAATATAATTTTAAAAACATTTAAAAAATGTCTAAAAAAATTATGAATAACGCAAAAACATTTAAAGTAGGTTTAAAATGTTTAAATCATATCTTTTCACAAATTATCTTCCTTGAAAACTAACTTAACCACTAATAATGAAAATGTTCTTTTTTTATTTATGTCTATATGTTTAATTATTGTAAATATTCAACTTTGTAAAAACATTTGGTATTTTAAAACAATTAATTGATTAAATATACTACTGATTGTTGAAGCGCAATTTATTAAACATTCAATAAATACAAAAATTGTGCGTTTGGAAAAAAGAAAATGTATTTAAATTCGATTTGTATCATTAGTATTTTAATTTAAAATTTTAATTAACGTAAAAGATAAGATGTATTGTTTTTTTAGTTTATTAACCAAGTCATTAGTGGTACTCAGTATATGTATTTATTAATTAATACTAGAGAATGAATTCAGTAAATTTTCTGACATGGTCTAATACATACAGGTTGATACAACTCACTAATTGTTACTATTTTTCTTTTCCAAAAATTAAAATTTAAAATTTACAACACTAAATAATCGATACGTATACAATATACATGAATGATTTTTTTTATTTTACAGTTATTTTTTAAATTAATCAAAATTAAAAAATATACAATATTATAATAATAGGTATATTTTTGATAAAGCAGTACTTACTGTTTCATTAGTGATGTGTTTATTTTTATTTTTTAACGTTGTTTTTAAAAATAAAAATAAAATGTAATTGTCATTTAAAAAAAATTATTTCCAAGTATTATAAAAGTAAGTTACTTTTGTGTAATGGTTTAAAATATACCAATTAAGTTGCCATAATGTTATGTAAAAAAGTAATTGCGATACAGTAACACATGATTTGGTTGTAATGTTCGTAAAACCTTACCATGAAGTTCATATCACAAATTTCCAAGATCAAGATTAACAGTTAGTGTCGTTCGTTAATTTTTCGTGCAACGTATGCAGAACGCCTGCGATGGCTTCCACGCTAAGACACGTTAAAGCAAATGTAGAAGAGCAGATTACAATCCAACGGCGCGCAGCACTAAGTTAAACGAGTTTTCTCCACGGCGTTCTGGATAGATAATTTGTTTACATCACTTGTCTGGGTTCATTTCTCCAGTATAGTCATAATTAAAATATTTATTTTAAGTAATTAATTTATAAATTATATATATGTAGAAATGTTTGTTTGTTTGCTTATCCTCAAAATAAATTAAAAAACTATTGGATAATAAATTTGTTAATAAAAGTTCTATTCATTGACTAAGGATATTGGGAGGGCATGTTTATATCTATTTATATTTTTCAACCCATAAAGGTTTTTTATAGAGGAACTCACATATACATTTAGTTTTAGATCATGAAAATGGAATATTTTTTTTTTTTTAAATAAATGATTGTTATTATTTATAAACTATGTTAACATAATAATTAATAGAAGAAATATATATGGCATATAAAATTGTTTACAAAAATATAGGTATTTAATAAACATAATATTTTTTATTTTTTTTTTTATAGCGTACAATCTGTAAATAAATTATTACAATAAGTACGCATGCGGAAATATATAATATAGCTTGACATAAACGAGATAAAAGCAGCCACCTAATGGCGACACTTTATGACATAATTAGGTTGAATTTAAATTTACCTTATATATTTACATAATATCTTAAAATAAAATAGTTATATGAATACAGCTGCAATGAGCATTTTTATGATTTACAGTTATGATTTATTTTCTTAGATCTGATTTTTTGATGTAAAGACATACAAATGAATAACAGTCTGAATAATATTGGATTTATATTGGTTTTTAAACATATTTTGTCGAACCTGTCAATATTTTTTTTTGTGTTTATTTAAAAAAAGGAATCAGAATTAAGAGATGAAAAATTATAAATTTAATCGTTGTAATTATGTTTATATTACGTATATATCTCAGCTGAAGGAAAATGAAAAACGATGGAACATAGAAAGATAGATAAATCTTAACCCTGGGTAATATAAATAGTTAATTATCAAATTATAACATGCAGTACTTAAATAGCTAATGAACACTAGATTTTACTATAAAACTGCCTCGTCTAAATATTTCCATCAAATACTTACGTAGTTTCTGTATTCATTCTATTAATCGATAGTTTATATATAGTATATGTCATTATATTTAATTATTTATTGTCTTGCGATAGAGGTAGTATATTATTGTCTTATCAACAATTAGTAGATGCCATGAGAATATCATAATTTATTAAACGAATATCATACATAATATATGTATAATATACAATTTTATAATTATATACAATAATGCAAATGGATATGCTGTACAAATATATCCACAGTATACTGCATTGTCGATTTAATTTAAACGTAAGTGTAAAAATAATACAAAAATATTAGATTTATATAATACAATATGAATACATAGTCGGTTCAGTAGTATGGTATTTAAGTAGATCTGAATAGGTGTCCCCATCTTCGGAAAAGTTCGAACACTATACCGTTAGTCCATCCAAAACCTGTTTGAGGTGTGTATTCTCCACCCCCGCCGGTCGTACCCACTTCGAGTGCACTGTACTGCGAACACAAATAAAATTTATAATTGAGTTGAAATAGTTTTAATTTATATTTTATAATCATTTATGGTATTGACGTTTAAGAAACCGTCTCTGAATTAAATTAATACTCAATGATTGTTTTTACATATGTAACAAAAATATACAATAATTTAAGTTCACACCATATTGTTGATTGAACGGTGGTAAACAATTACCTTTTCAAACATGGTGCCGCTGGTTATGTATCCGACGTAATTAGTATTTATCCATGACTTGGCCAAGTTTATTGCAACGGTTTGGGCAGGTTTGTAGTTTGTGCGATCTAAACCTTGGATTACCATTGCTTGAAGTGGAGACCAGCAATTGGGATAATCCCATTGTTGAGAAGAGTTTATATTCGATGTTGGTACACCTACATTAAAAATGATAAATAAATAGTTTAAAATTTGTATTGTAGAACTTTAGATTTGATTATTTAATTTATATTACGTGAATATGTATAATTATGTATTACTTATTATAAACACTAAAAGATAAAAGTTACACTTATTATAACTTATACTGTTCTAACTTATAAGCTATTAAAATTAATTTTTTTATACTCTGTTTTGTAATTAAGCTATACATTTTATATTTATAATGTTAAGATATATCGAAATGTATAAAAAAATGTTCGGCTTACATAATTTTTAGTTTATATAATTATATCATATTTTCAACTTTTAATTTCAAAGCCTATTTATTATTTTTAAATTGAATAATATATAAAAATGAAAAAATATTTTAATATAGGTATTTATACAAAATTTTATTTTTTTTAGTAGGTGTACCTAGTGGCAATTTTTATGTGTGTATAAATTGTGTACAAATCATAGTATCTATATTCAATAAATGTATGCTTAAAAGATATAGTACCTAACATAAACTTAAAATTTTGAGTAAAGCAATGAATGTATTGATTTTACTATAACGTGGGTTTTATTTTATTTTTTTGTGTCTTTATTACTTTCTAGAAGAACAAAAATACTTTTAAATTCAACTTTGAGAAAGATTTTTAATAAGAAAATTAGATTTATTTGTTACTTTGATGGTTCAAAATGTCCATAGCATTAAAATAATTGGAAAACAATTGAAAAAAAAAAACGCTAAACCGGTAATCGTTTTTTATGTGTAATGATTGCATTCAAATTAAATGGTTGTATTTAATAACTTGAGTATGTTTTTTTAAATTCAAATTATTAATTTACTATTAAGATTTTATACTTACAAATTAGTTTTGGAGTTCCATCTTGATTGATAACACCGTTAACTATCAAATAGTCTAACGCTCGTTTACCATAATACGTTCTAAGTTTTCTCTCATAACTACCAGTCCATAACGGTGCAAAATTGGACGTATAGAAATATTTACGACTCAGTTTGGTGGTTAGGTCATAATCTAACCAAATACCTTCTTCTTCGTTCCACAGTAACTAAACGTACATATCAAATAAATAAGATATGTTTTTTTTAGTAACACATTTCAAACTAAATAAGTATAATATTATATCACTAACCGCATTTATTCCAATTTGAAAACGATGACCGATGTCATTATAGTATTTGAATTTAGCTTGATTGCCTAGTAATTTAAAAAATTGAGCAAGAACAACTGCATTAGCTTGTAATATTGCATTTAACTCTACGTAAATAAAATTTTGAGGATCTGTATTTGACAAATCTCCTGAAAATAATAAAATTAATAACCTACATTGTAATAAATATTTATTAAAACAAATAAATTTATACGATTCATCGATATACAGCTAAATAAAATAAATACATTTTTTTAATACAATTGTAAAATTAATATATGACGTATTATAAATACTCAAATCAATAAATATTAACTGATTTAAATTTTATAAATATTTAAAAATTCTACATGTACCTACATTTTTTGAAATTGGACTTTGGCAAGTACAAATAATTTATAATATTGTTTAATATTTATTTTTATAATAATTACAATAAAATAAACAATAGATACTTATATAAAAAAAAAAAAAAAAAACTTTTAATTTAAAAATAATATAATCACTGTATCCAAACATTTAATAACTGTTTATTATTTTTATGCAAATAACTAACTAAATAGTTAAATTATTGATAAAGTTAATTTAAAAATATCTATATTTTTTCTTTGAGTGAAAACAAAATTTTATGTTAATGTTGTATTTAGAAAATATGATACGAATGTTAAAATTTTATTTTTATTCAACAAATAATTAGGTTAATTTATGTATTTAATAAACTTTTTAAATTCTGTATAGACAGTTAACAAAAATATATTGGTATAGTAAAATGCTTGGTGATATTTGTCACCGAAACCGATCAATAACGATAATTTGTTTTTATTGATATTATTGTAGTTTCACTATGGTATAATTGAATATAAGAAATATATTTACATTTATAATCAAAACAATTATGTTAAATTTATTAGTATTATACTATTAATCGACGTATGTTTATTAAATTTAGTAAACAATAAAAATTGTTAAATTTTCTCAAGCATAAATTGTGTGGTTGTTATGTATATATAATTATACTAATTTACTTGGTTATATTTCGTGCCCAACATATTGTATAGTTGTATTTATATATGTTATTTGCCTGTAACTCATTTATTTAAATGTATTTTATATAAATCGTATATATTTTTTTATGATATATTTAGAAAATATTACCAGTATTTTGACCCATATTATTGTAATGTTTGGACGAAAAATCCCAACCCGTTTCAGCAGCAGCTTTTAATCTTGAATATAACTCATTTTTATCATCTACGCTAGGAAAGGGCATAGCTAAAGTTTTGTCTTGACTACAAAAAAAAAAAAATAAAAAATAAATTTATATAAATATTGAACATATATATTTTAATTTTAAAATAAATTGTACACCTACTAATAGGATTCGGGTCGGGGTCCTCGGGTATGCGTGTTGTACTGTCCCATTACATAGGTATTACCTGCCTTTTCGACTTTTATTGTTCGATTTATCATCCAAAAATTGAATTCCGCTTCTAGATACTATTGAAAAAGTATTTGAATATTTAATAATAATTTTTAAAAATACAAGCATTTTATTTGTTTCTACACAATATAATAGTTACTATCAAATTCAACCTAAATTATTGCTAATTTTTTTCAAACGTAATAAATTGGTGTTCACTGTGTACTGTTTGAAAAAAAAAATTAGTACTAAAAATCGAATAGTTATAGGTATTTTACTTGTATGTTTTTTTTGATAAAATCTAAGTCATCTGTATACGTATAATATGATGCAGCCATTTGGATAAGGAGCGGTGGCTGAGATCTCATTAAATAGTAAATTCTACTTCCGTTCGGTACATAACCAAAGCGGTGAACTAAGTAAAGGAAGTTTTGTATGATTCCTCTAGCAGTGTCTTTCATATCACACAATATTGCTCCTACAAAAATAAAATATTTACACCATAAATTATAATTATAATTAATAATAGTCATTATTTGATTTGTATTCTTTTATATTCATTTTTTTACCTCTAATGATCCAATACGAATCCCAATAATAAAGCTCAGTAAATCTACCACCAGCTATGAAGAATCCATTTGGTAAATAAATAGATGAATGTCGATCGGGATTCACTTTAACGTCTTCATCTACTTTTCGTGCTAATCTTTTCCAAATTTGATTTAATTGTAAGATCCAATTCCTTAAAAATAATACCATACATTACAGATCCATTAAGAAACAATAATATTTTCCGCGTAAGTTCAAAATTTTGTTCACCATTTAATAATATAATTAATAATTTACAATCATTCAGATTTATTTTCATATCTTAATTATTACTTGTAATTTTGATCATGTACATAAGTACTGACAGTGGGAATTTCAACAAAATCAGGCGGCACCCACTCGACCAATGGGTCATCACTGAAGTTGTCTTCAACAAACTTGGTAAGTGCAGCACGAGGAGGCACTCGACCGTTATTTCGTAATTTCAATTCCCTGTACGATTTTACAATTTCAGCTTCGCTCCGTCGTAATTTTTTGTCCACAAAAGTTTTAGAGTCTGTGTATAGTTGCTGCATTTGTATATCATCAAGAAGTTCCCCGTGACAATATATATCACTATAACGAATAATAACACATATTATGACAAATAATTTCTGGTAGCTGCTATATATCTAATAAAATTGTATTTTGTAAATCATTTAAACTAATTATTATATTATAATCTATAAATAGCACATATATGTATACAGTATAATTTTAATAAATTGTATCAAAAATGAAATAAAAATAAAATTGTCTAAAAATATACCTGATTGTGCAGATAGCTTCACTCCGTTACCTCATCATATATTAAGACATTGCATAGCGTTTATTTTATTTCACATTAAGTTAAGTCAAAATATTTACATAAAACATAATATTTATATGTGATGTATTTTTGAAATAAAAATTTAACAATAATTAGAACAAAAAAAAAAAAAATAAATAAATAAATAAATAAAATAAAATAAATAAATCTATTAAAATATATACTATTTTGGAAAAAAATGTTTTTAATTCTAATTATTGTTTATGCATTTTTTACACAGCGTATTTTACTTTTATGACTTCATGTAACATTAATTAGTCATCGTGATAAATTACAAAACTATAAATTCTGTTGAAAACTAAAAATTCTAAAGTATAAATTGTTTTCTTTTAAATGCAGCACTCAGTTAGTTATTGTAATATAAGTTATACAGCTACTCGTATTATAAAATTTAAAAATATTTCTAGTACTTATATTCTTTAATTTCTATGATTATTTGAATAACGTTATATTAAATTTGTATTTTTTTTTAGTTAATACTCAAAATTTTTATTTGAGTTTTGAAATTAATAACGTAAATAATATTTAACATAATATAATACTGAATTATGATGATATGTCCCTATACCCACATGTGTAGTCTCCGTCTTACAAACATGACGTAGCATAGGTTCTAAATTTGCGAACATATTTAGTATTGTTATATTTAATATTAGAGTGAATTTTCCTAAAATAAAAGTTAAAGTTAAGAAGATTATCTATGCTTAAGCATTATATTTTTTTTGATACTTTCATTTTTAAGCAAGTTTTGAATAAGCTAGTATAAGTTAGGTGACGTAAGTCAGTCAATAGTTTCAGGATTTGTTTTGATTATTAAGATATTTCATAATTTTCAAATAATGATTTCAAGGCTAGGATCTTGAAATAGATTTAATTTTTATTAATTTTAAATAATTTTATCTATTTAAAAAAAAGAAAAGTGGTTCTTATTACCTATGTAATATTTTTACAAGTAACAATTATTCGCATAGAATATGTTTGTGTGTTTAAAAATAAATGTAGGTAGGCATAATTAAATAATTAGGTGTATAGTAAAGCTTTGTATGTATAGTTTACATTTTATTAAAAGCATTTTTTTAAATTTATAAATGCATTACATATTCAAATATTATCGGAGACTTAGTTTTAATGAGAAAAAATAGCGTAATTTCCTTTAATATTGTTATAATTATAACGAACGAGTTACGCCAAATTAAAAAATAAGAATCTAGATTGAAAATTTAAAGCAGATCTGCAATAAGATGAAATATTTGTCAGTAATTACTAATCTGATAAAAAAAATATTTCACTAATACCAATATTACTACTTACATTATATTATGTCATAAATTATGGCTTATAATAATGATAAGTTGAACTATTATAATTTTTTATGTATGATATAAAAATTGAAATTATTATTTTTGTAATTTTTTGTAGCTTTTTAGGTCACTATTTAAAACTCTATTATTAAAAATAAAAATGTTTGAAACACATTAGTATTAATATTCTCATGTGATATGTATTGTTAAGTTATGTATATAATATTCATAACTATTATAAATAATTAGTTAATTTACTTATTACAGAGTACTGAACAAAACTATATCAATTATAAAAAGCATGAATTTACTTGATTGAATTGTTAATGTTTTATATCATAATGTATCAAATAAGATTATGTTAAATTAATAAAAATTAAAGATATATTTATGTGAAACTTTTAAGCGTCTATTAAATATAATTAAAATATAATATGAAGTTATCATACTTATTAGATGGATGTATAAGTTTTAATTAAAAATTAAAATGTATTGAATAAGTCATAGTCTAAGACATTTAATTTTTTCAATAAGTAACTAAAATATGTACTTAAAACGTGAAAAATTAACATAATTTTAGATTTTTACTTTTAAAAGTCATAAATTACACATAAAATATTTTTAAGTTACTGATATCCATATATTTTTTTAACAATATTCTATTTATATTTGTGATTTTGATTTATGATTTCGTTTGAACCATTTTCATTATTTGGTCTTTAATTACTTGACATAATATATTAGAAAAACGCCAAATTAATTTTAAAAGAAACATTTATTTAATAATAATTGAAATTATAAAAGATCGTTAAAATAAATAAAATCCTAGAGTTGTTCGTGAAAAACTTCAATCATTTTCACTAAATATAATATTTACGTTTGGAAGATAAAAATTTAAATTTAAACCAAAACTTACAAAAATTGTGTAAAATCAATTCTATAAAAATCATAATTGTGAAAATATAAAATAAGGTCATATTTTTCATTTAATATATGTATAGCTCATTGATTAATATTATGGTATATCACATACATCAATAAATAATATATAAATAATGAAGAGAAAAAGGTTTTCTAACTCTCATAAGTAAGAACATTAAAATATCATTATTTGTTATAGTTATACAACGGATGTATTTACAATTATTAGGAGAAATTAAGAGAGAACAATTTAGTGATTATATTATAATTTATAGCTATAACCCACATAACAGTTAAGTACATCACTTAATAGACTCAGGTGATTTTTAAATATTGTATAATCAAACACTAGGTAAAATATAAAATAAACTGTGAAATACACATTTTAACATCATAATGTATTAAGGGTCTATATATTGATTTTAAATATTAGTAAAATAATAAATGACTACTTAATATTTCTAAAATTAATTAAAATTGACAGAAAAGTAAATATTAGTTTATTTAGAATCTAAACTAAATAACAATACAATTGTAAAATAGTGTGTAGGGGGTAGCAGAGGCAGCATATGCTGCCCTTGGACTTTTTTTGGGGCTACTGCGGTTAGTACATTTTGGATATAGGGTCTCGATAAAATTATATTTTCACAAATGATGATCATTGTAGATGAGAAAATTATAAAAAAAAATTATTTTATTTAGTAAAGTATAGATAAATATTTTATGATTATATAATTTACTAGTTTAAAACAAATATTATTATTAATTATCATTAATTTACTACAAAATATATTTATAATATATATATATAAGTATACCTACATTTAAAATTCTACTTAGTATACTCGTAAAATACATGGCTATAATACTTTTATAGTATAGAAGGTAAAATTGATGGTAAATCTATTTACTAGATAATAATTGAAACCATTGTATAGTAATAAAATAAAATACAAATATTAGTTATTACTTATTAATTATTAATTACTCTATAATTTATATTATGTTAATAAGTATTTTAATTTATATATATTTTATATAAAAAATTAAAATATATTAGTGAAACAATAAAAATACTCAGTTGTTGAAATATTTTTTTACCAATGATAACCTAAATATTTTGAATAATTAAGAAATTGAATTATGAATTAAAACTCATGAATTGAAAATATAATATGTTATTAGTATTTTGTTATTAAGATATTATCAATTTTGCTTCCTATATTTTAAATTATTAAATTTATAATGGTAGGTCAGAATGTGTTATTTATAATCTAGTGTTCATAATTTCAATTTTAATAAATACTACTGTGTTGTATCTATAATGAAGTCGAAATACATAAAGTATTGCAGAAGTACAAAAACCATAAAGTATAGTTTTTGAATATAATAATATTAAAAAACTAAAATATTATGAATTATAAAAATATTTCGATAAAATCTAATCCTAAGATAAAATATTAAAGTCTAAAGTTAAACGCTGCAACACATAACACAATAGTGTAATTTTGAAATATTGTAGCAGCAAATCAATTTAACATTTAAAAAAAGTCACGTGTATACAACTGCTTGTTAGTGAAATAAATGGTTTTTACATTTAAAAACATATTATTATATAAGAAATAATTATATAGACATAAATTAGCAATTTAATCATCCCTTCTTTGGAAATTAGATATATGAGTATTGAGTATACAAGTCAATTACACATAATTGGATATAAATAGTATTATAATTTATAATAATTAATAATCTCTCAGGAACCCCAAGCATAAAAATATAATTTTATACCACCTGAAATTTTTACGAGTGTATTCGATACAATTTCTAACTCTCAAAAGAAGTGATTTATGTGAATTTAAAATGACAGTAGTTCTAAAACAATAAGGAAAATAAATATTTATATTATATAGATATAACACAGTTTTTTAACATTCAAAACAAATATTATTTATTATAATTTGATTAAATATGTATAGGTTAGGTATTTCATTTTTTTTCTGTTGACACAAAAATCTAAATCACTCATCATTGGTAAGTTATCAGCTTTAAATTCAATACATACTGAGTGTATACATTTTGAATTAATAATAATAATACATTATTATTAATAATTTTTAATACTCTTTTTTGGCATTTAAATTGATTTTTTTATGATTTTTGCGTGGTTTTTCATTATTATTTATTATTATTATTATTATTATTTTTTTTAGGAGTTTTATAAAACTTTAACATCCGAAAAATATATACGTACATCATAGACCGTTGTCGTCAAAGAATGATTATCGAAATATATATGAAAAAAAACCTACCTGGGGCATATGTCTGGATATGGGCCGTTGTACTGGCCCTGTAGCTGTCCAAGGGCCGTAGCTGGGCGTGTAGACGCCATCAATAGCAATAGTACAGCAGTCAGCCTGACGGCGATGGTGGTAACGGTCGTCGTCACCGTGGCGGACGAGCGCATCTTGCAGACTGCCGCGGGCGAACCAGAGGACCAAGTGGTGACCTGCCAAGCCACCGCTCCCGTCGCCGCTGCTGCTACTGCCGTCGTTGTTGTAGTCATATCGCTTCTACTGTGGTCGTCACGGGTCACAACGATCATTGGTCACGGACTTTCGGCACACGCCACCAGACGCGTATCATCGCCTAATTCAACCACCTTTTCCAGTGCTCGTGCACACACGCACAGTGTCTCGCACAAGTGCAAAATGTAGACAGACGTTGCTGTTACCGTGTTTCTGGTATCGTTGTCGTTGTTGTTACTGATACAGTTGAGTAAATGGTCATCATCACTATGGTATACTGTACCTATTGATGGCAGTTTGTGGACTACGCAAACTACGTCAGACTACGTCGAATGCGTTCGTTTTTGAGACGATGGTATTATTTCGTTTCGCGAGACGTGTCTTCCTCGTCTATACTTACATCCACGCACGATATCGTGTATGATGATGGTCTACAAAAATGAAAAGTTATTTTATAATAAACATAATTATATTGTTAAACTGTTTTAGACCTACTAAAAAAATATATGTTGTAAAAACAGATTGATGCATTTACTGTACTTCTTACAATATCCGAGTCTCGGTAAATATTATTTGAATGTAGGTATTAAAGTGATAGCCGGGACAGTTATGTGAATATTAGTTTAATATAAGGAGAATCAGTAAAAAATAACCTAACCTTTATGTACAAAATAGTTGTTTTAAAGTATTTATAATGTCTTAAAAATGGTCATATAATTAAGAAAAAAGAATTGTTAGTTAAAACTCAATACCTACCTCGAATTCACTATTAACTACCTGTATCATACACATTTGATAGTGTGATAACTAATTAATAAAATAATTAAAAATTATAGGTACCATAGGGTTTGATATTATTTTACTCAAGTACTTAAAACTCTACATAAGAAAAGATTTATAATTAGTCTTATCGTAAATATCTTATTGATATAAATAAAATATAACAGATACCTATAAAATTATATCTAACGACAATATTTTAACTGATATCCATATAATATTATTTAAATTTATGTAATATGTAGCCAGTAATATGTTTTTGAATATAATGTTGTTATGTAAAGTCTTAACGTACTGTATTGGTATCCTATGAGCAATTTACTATTTTATGGTTAAATTGAAAATGGGAAAGTAAAATAGTGAAATGATTTTATCCATATTTTTCTCATCATAACCATAATAAATCTCTGTCAAAATCTTGTATAAATTATTTTTGAAGATAATATTTTGAAGTATAATTTTATACATTCTTGTAATACAGTTATTTATTATATCTAGAAACCCCAATATTTCGAATTTTAAAACACTAAGCTCAAATCTCAAATTGAGATGATTAAATCATAGTTACAATATTTTTAGATTCTGAGCTGAGTAATTAATATATTTATTTTAAATTAATAAAATAAAATATAAAATTATATTTGATAAAATATATTTTTTTATAAGTAATTAATATCAAATTAATACAATAAAATATTGCGTATTTTTTTTTTTTTATTTGATGTAACTATTTATGATAGAAAAATTTTAAAAAGTCAAAAGTAAAAATTGTTAGTACTTTCCTTAATTATTTTGAAAAATGAGATTTCTTATTAAAATAAGTTTTTGATGAAATCGATTTTTTATTTTCTTGTAATTTAAAAATGAATATAACTACATAGTACTTGAAATTTTCACCAAATGTTTGTATTGAAATTGTCAATTTATTTTGAATTTTTTTTAGTTGTTTATTGTCATTTTAATGTTTAGTTTGTTATTTTTATTTCAAAAATGTAAAAAAATAATAATATTTAATTTTGTAAAAAAGCTTGAAAATTGAATATAGAGTTCTTCTTAAAATGTCATTATAGCAATTAAAAAATATTAAAGAATAAATATCCATAGGAAAAATTATGTTTTATTTATATTTATTAATTAAAGAACACCGAAAAACAAAAATATTCATGTAATATTAATTTTCAATAAAATCGATTTTATATTTTCAGCGGTAATTTCAAAATTAGTAAATACTTATTTGAAACTATCACAAAAGATTTATGTTAATATTTTATAGATAAGAATTTCTTTTTTAAATACTTCGGATTTCAGCATCAAAAATTAAATACAAGATTTCTCTTCAATTGTATTGATACTAATTAAAAAATATCGAAAGTGAACACTCTATTTTTATTTTTATTTTTTTTAGGCACATATTTAAAATTTAATTTGTTAAAATCATGAAAATTTCCAAATTTGTTAGTGCTATTTAAAAAAAAATTTTATCATGTGGCCAATTTTTTTATAAGTTAATGATCTTTATTTTTTATGAAGTTCGAATTTTGACAGAATTGGATATTCAAATTTATAATAACATTTTCTCCCAACAGGACTTATATGTTTTAAATTAAAAAATATTAATCATAGAAACACAAAACATTCTAATATTATTTAAAAATCTTTTTCTATACGCATTAATGTTTTGTAATTATTAAAAGCATTTTAATTTTTAATTTTAGTCTTTTTATTTATACCTAAATGTTTTACGATTTTTTTCTTGATCCAAAAACTTATAAATATAATGAAACGAGTTGTTCTTAAAAAGTTCATATCTATTGAGAATAAATAGTAGGTATGTACAATTCATACAGACATTTGCAGTTAAAATTATACTACATTATAGGTATATATCGTTTAAATTATTACACTAGATATAGTTTTGACAAAATTTAATCCTTAAACAAAAAATAAAGATTTTAGTGTTTTAATTTTAATTCAAAAATATCAGTTATTGAAATTTAAAACTTTTTTTTTTATTATCAATTTTATGAATTATCATTTTTTTTAAAGACGATGAGATTAAAAAAATATATTTTGATTTATTTTAAGGTCTTTATTACTCAAACTTATTCATACCTTTCGCTTCCCGGTATTAAATAAAAGACAATAACAATAACAGGTGTATTATGATAAAATATTTTAATAATTGTTATATAATTTATTCGATTATGAAAAAATTAATTCTTTGATAAAAATATCTGCTTTAAATCATTTTTTATATGTAATTATTTAAATGAATTCAAATTTGATACATCTACTACTGTTTTTAATTTTGGTATTATGGGTTATTTATCTGTTTGATTTCGAGATACTACCAAATCTATGATGTAGCGCCTATTGATTATTTAGTCCAACCTTTATACCTTTACTTACATAATGTGGTTTTTCACAACAGGTCAAGGGATATTTTCAAATTGCTGAGTAGAACAAGGGCGCTAAGTGAGTGTTGTGATTGAGAGACAATATATCAATAAAAATATGTATATTACCATATTGGTAAATTATTTTGTGTACATTTAAATTTTTAATATTCCTCAACATATAGTGATGATAAACCACATCAATCAGGGTTAATTAAATGTTGACCTTTATACACGATACCTATACTGATATTATAATTAACAACCACCTATATTGAACCATAAAAAAAAACATTATAAATATTATATAGTGGTGATAACAAAAATGATTAATTTTAGATATATCTATTATCTGTTCCAATATAGTAATAGAAATTGATAGTTTAGATGTTCTACAAGTATATAGATTTTATCAAAATATAATTTTTAATTTTCAGGTAAGTACCTACTTATATTTTATATGCTGTAGTCTATTTTATTCTTTTAAACCGTCTTTTCAAATTAATACTATGCATCTATCTATTTGTTTCATAAATACATTAATATACAACAAATGTTTCACTTTTAATCAATTTACATGCAAAACAAAATTTTGTATTTAATAATTATTTCAATATAATAAAAATGGTAATTATCTTCGGCTGGAATTATTTCAAGATTATAAATTATTTATTGCAATCGATATTTACTGCAATGGACGTCAACACAACCCACCCGTGTCCGTGGTACTTATTTCTGCTAGGCTTAGTCACCGCACTCGTTGGCAACGAAATAATGGTTAATTTTATTTATTATACTCGATAGTGTACGAAAAAAAATCTTGTTTAATTTTGCTATTCTCAGTATAAATAAATACAAAATAAAAATAAAATTCCGACATAATCATATTTTTTAATTTTAGGTGTGGTTAAATATAAAAAGACAGAGACTTATAGTCAAGTATTCAATATACTTTGCATAATTATTTAATATATAAAATAATCGCAATTATTTTCACGCACTTGATAATCGTTTGAAGACCTTGAGTATGTACCGCAAAATATTTGGAGAAAATAATAATATTGCAGAGCTGTGACCACTAAGGTATATCAAATAAAATACAATTTTAATAGATAGAAAATTTATAATTACTTATATTTTTCAAAGTCAATGTTATGATAGTTATCGTAATCATAAGATTATTCAAATTTATGCGGTCAAGGACTGTTTTAGAGTGCTTAACACAAATTGGTGTTAAATTATAATTTAGCATTAATTTGATTGCACTCGGCAGTGATAATAATACAAACATGATATGGATACAAACTCGGGTGTAGTAATTTTTGGGATGATCTTGTTATTTTTCAAACTTTAACAATGCACTAATTTTATTATTTATTTATTTTGATAACAGAAACATTAAATCAGATTGAAAACCATATATTATGAGCTTTGTGGAATTGAACTGTTTTCCTGAGTGACATATTTATTTATAAAAATACTAGCGGCGATTAAGGGCATTATTTTTTATTATGAATTTTCTTGTAAATTAAAATACATGTCTAATAATTTTTAATGTGATAAATACACATCATTGTGATAATATAATAACATGCAGCGTCTACCATAATGCATAATCTTATTCATCCCATCACACTATATCGAATGTGCATATCTAATCTACACTAAAAAGTGAAGATTCAGCGGTTGAATGAAAATAAGTTATGTCAATAAAACAAAACACAGTAAATATTATCAAAAAAATACGAAATGAAAGATGAACAGATTAAATACAATAAAACATTTTAAACCAAATACATAGATGGTATTTTAATCTTGATCTAATTTCTCTAAATTTTCTCATTTTTTAAATTGTTCAGAAAATGATATGCCACAATTCTGAACATAATTATAATATAATTCAACTTATAATTTATATAAATAAAATAATTTAATTTTTTTTTTTTTAATTTGAATGTCTTTGTAAGTATTCTGCATTTTATTTTTATTCTAAAATAATAAATATTATGCTATGTAAATTACAATAAGTATTTATGTTCATGTCAATAATATGTGATTAATTGGATTTTTTTTGATCGGTGTTACGTTATGTTTTCACAATTTTGTATGCTATTATTAAACTATAAACCCATATTTTACTATAGAATATCTAACCATAAAAAAAATAAAAATGAGAGTACATGTTAAAAAAACCTCTCAACAAAATATTTATCAGATATAATATAATAAATCACATACATAAATATATATAATAAATAAAAAAATAATTTTGTAATATTATTTAAATTACACATTTTTTAAGCTTGTTAAATTCCTGTCACTCAACATAGCACATTTGCTTAAAATAACAAATTTTCATAAACCGCATATTATACTTTCAATCAAAATGTATACGTCGTTATATAATTGTTAGATATTCTTAAAACAAAGTAATTTATTAATATATATTTATCAAAAAGAGATGTTTATTGAACTATAATCGTTTGTCAAAAATATTTTTAGTTTTTACGTATATCTAAACTTAATACTTATACAGATATAGTATTTATTTTTTTTTTTAATATTATATAATTCCACAATGACTGGCAACTCAACAAACTAATATTTATATTATAAATATAATTTAGCGAAATACATTAATTCCTGTTTTTTAATGTTTTGTTTATAGGTTGAATAACGTGGAGTAAGTAAAAATTTTTGTACATAATAAATAATCAATTAAATTATTCAAAATTAAAGATAAATAATTTCTATTATCTTGGAGAAATGTTTTGATACAAATATTGAAATATATAATTATTATAATATATTTTATCACATAAAAAAGATATAATTCAATACACGTAATTCTATTATTACGCAACTGGTATAAATGACATAAAACGCGAAACATATTTTGTAATATTTAATGCAAAATAATGCGCGAAACTATACGTATTTCGTGTGAGTAGTTGAAAACTATACATATATATATATATATATATACATATGACTATAGTTTCTTTCATTCTTTAAGACAGTTTCGTTTTGTATCCTGAATGTTTTACACAATAACGTCACGATTTTAATTTCACAAATCAATTTTGATATTCTTTAAAACCAAAATAGGTACTCGTGATCTAATAACTTTGACTACAACTGTTCACATATGGATAATATGTTCAAATGATATTATACGTTAGGTATGCGTTACAATATATTAGTATCTCATGTTCTAAATCGTCAACATTATAGTGTACGTACATGTTATGTATGAAATGGAAACTGGATTCGATGACAGGCAGATATTTTATGTTTATACATAATATATATCTATAAATCTAGCGGAAACGTTCAATTTTAAAGAAAAAATTACCTCTTCCATTTGATGTCGTAATAACTACATTTGAATGCAAATATATTGAGTACCTAAATACCAGAACATTTTCTCGATTTTTTTGTCAATATATATATATATATATATATATGTATATATAACTATTAAAGAAAAATAACTGACTAGAAACATTTTAACTTAAAGATAAAATTTATACTGAGAGACGATTGTAATACCTATTTATGTAATTTTTTTTAACTCTGATAATGATTACGGTTACTTGTCATGTAATGAAATGCTTTGTATAGATTGTAAATAAACGTTTAACGGATGACAATAAAAGAACCAGCTTATTTTTTTGATTTCCTTCTTTACTTATTATTGAGTTTTAATTTTAAATAAATATTTATTAAGATATATTTCAAGGAATCAAATTTTTACCAATAATATTATAACAACAAAAAGTGTAAATACTTATTTGAAAGCTTACGTTATATAAAAACGGCGAATACCTAATCTTCACAAGTTTCTAAATGATTTTTCAAAGAAATCGAATAATCATCATATTTAATATGTTTAATTCAATTTTTTATAAGTTTATGATTTTTTTAAATTTTTATTTGTTTCACTTCTTGATACAAAATATATTTTTTCAAAAATTATAAAATTAAATTAATTAAATTAATTAAATTAATTAAATTATAAAGTCAGAAAAAATACAATCCAGTGTAGCGTAAATCATCTAAATTAATAATTAGTTAAAATATTAAAAATAATATTATTTATGATGTCTTACAAAATCAAGCGATAATTACAACTTATCAATTGTAAATCATTAAAAAGTTGCTTTTCTAAAAGTCAGTATAAATATTAAATACACATTAATTAAGTTATATTTTTAAGTAATATTGTAAACATATTTTATTTTCAAAATGATTTTCAAAAAAATTAATTTATTGAGCTTAACTCATATATAATTAACCAGTTAATTAACCAAGACGGTTCTTGGATGTTATTATGGGTTTAAAACAACATTAATAACATAAGACATAATATATTAACCCATCAACGCTGTATTTTGTGCCTATAACATGTTAGTTTAAGATATATGTTTCATATATGAACAGCATAAACAAAAATACTACACCTAAGTAATAATTTAATTATGCTCTTAGTATACTAGATTATGAAATCTATATGTAGTAATATGTCATAAATCACGATATAGGTACTATTATTATGTATTATATGTACCTCTACTTTTAATCTAAGTTTAACTATGTAATACACTATGTAGGTGGTCAATATCATTTTGAGAAAACAATGTAACACAATTTTCATAGTGGAAAGTCGAGAAAAATGTTTAAAACGTGACGATTAAAAATAAATCAAAGGTTATCTCAAGGTTTCATAAAAACGTTCCGTTAGCAATCACATGAGTAAACATCGTAGTTCATGCGGTTAATAATAAAACTAAATGTTATAATAATAATCGCAGACGAGCTCTTAACGGACAGCTCGTGTTTGGACGTCAATTACATTTTTAAATATAATAAAATATTTTTGTGAAAAGAAAATCATGCGTAATAACAACTTACCCGTTATTGTAAACCGTTTGAGCAGTCACAATGGAAATTAATCGCTGGTGAAAACTGTAGACGTCCTCCTGCGCCGCGAACACTGACGCGTCGAGTTGTAGCGACCGAAACAGCTAAGTATTAATATTATAATATCATAGTTACGTGAATAACGTGAAACGCGAGGCGCTGTAGTAGTAATTTTTGACCATTGACCGAAATCACGTCATAATAACTGATAGTAGAATTTTGATGTCATCGTACCGCTCGAAATCATTGCTTTACATCGACTTATCGATATTATATTATGCTTTACTTAACTTTACGATAATAACAATAATGTACACGCATGGTAAAAAAATGTGCACGTGCGGTGCATAAACGCAACGCCACTGTAAGCTACAACACATTTATATTGTTTATTACGATATATATTTGCTTAAAACGAAACACGATATAGTTATAAATATATAATACTATATAATTTATTATGTTATGTTATTACGCGATTTAATCGTGTGTTTAAGTACGACGGACGACCGGCTGCGCAGAAATCTCAAGTGTGTCTAAATCGCGCACACCATGCGTATGCGTCTTAAACGTAAATGCATTGTACCCGTTTAGGCAATGTATTATATTACTATACAGATACATATATATATATATATTTATATTACACATAAATGTATGTGTGTGTGTACGATATTATAACCACGACAGTCATGTATTCTGTGTTCGTATACATATAAATTATAAATATATAGGATATACCGATATACGTAATGTATGTTGGTACCATTAAGGGAGTGTGTATGTGTGTGTATCTGTTTATGAATAAGAAATTTTGTAGGTAGAAGAAAAAAAAAATTGATAAAAAACGTTGAATCTTTTCGAACGATATTCGCATATATAGTACATGTGTAATATTTAAATATTCGCCAATACAATTTTCCGTTACTACGGTAATAATAAAAGAACCTTTTTGAGATTTATTAGTTTAATATTAAGTCAAAATTAATATTTTAGTATAATATTAAGTATTTATATTATATTATAATTATAAAATACAAACGCAATATTGCAATAAGACGTGCGTGGTCGATGGATCAGCATAATGATGGATACCAAACGAATATTTTTTAATGTAAATCCGTTAAGTTACTTAAATAAATTATCAGTTAATACTATTGTCACTAAATTTACATCTTAAATATTTATCAATATAGATTTTTCACTCCCAGATTTATGATTAAAACTACAAAATTGTTGTTCATTTTAGTATATTATGTGTATAGTGTATGGTATAATAGTTTTCACTTCTGACTTAGTAAATCAAAATAAATCACATTATTTCAATGTTATAAATTAACATAATATACGGCGTTCACGCAAAGATATTGGAAAACTTCCTTGTTTGAAAATAAATAATATATTATTTTAAATAATATTATAAATAAATTTTTACTAGTTTTTAAAAATGTATATCAATAATGTTGGTGGTGAATAATATGTTGATTATTTCTTAAACAAAATACACTGCATAATATAAATAAATTAATCATTCAAAAAATTATTTGTTTTTTGTTTAGACATAACTGATTTTTTTACAAAATGATTACGTAATAATATTTACTATACAATAATTTTTTTTAATAAATATAATGAATTACGTTAACACTTTATAATTGAATATTTAGAATAATTAATATCAACATTATTTACACAATTTTCGGTTGTGTACATGATTTACCTGTATTGTCATACCATATGACTTAAACATAATATTACCAAGTATACAATATTACTAAGTTTTATTTATAAATAATAAACCCAAAAATAAATTGAATAAAAATAACTACGTCATAAAATACTATATACCAGCACTAATATAGGTACTAATATACTCTATTTATTCATAGATATGTATATGCGTGTGTGTTTTATAACTATTAACTATTATATTGAGAGTCGTAGTAGTACCTAATTAATTTTAATGTTGTTGGAAAGTTACATATTAATAAATTATATATGTTATTATAAAGGTAGGTACGTGATATAGGTACTGATCAGTATAAAATATGATCATATAGTTTTTCTACACTTCATTTTTTCTTCCGTTTCCATTTTTTTTTTTTTTAATATTTTATGTTTATATTGCTGCATGTCTTGATCACTAGACCGCGTCAAATACCGATTTTCACTTTGCTCAATATTGGATAATAAAACTAAATTCATTTGCTTCACACCATAATTATTTACGCCATTTGATGTATAAAAGTAGTATTATGGGATAATATGGTATTATAATATGTATGAATACAGCGATATGTTACGTGGTAAATGAAGAGGTAGAATATGACGTATTATTGGTTACTTCAGTTGGCGCACATGTCTAGAGAGGAACGCGTAGGACAAAGGAAGTAAACAGGAAGAACGGACACAGCGGAAACGATCGTTAAGTATGAAGATCATCATACGAATGTGTAAATGGATATACCTACTTAAATCAATGCATAGTTTATAATTTTACATTAACTGACACGGTGACGCCACATATCCGGCATTATAAAGGTGTCCGTCAATAGAAAATTTAAAAACATAATTATAATTTCAAGTTAACTTAGCTCCTATAATATACCCTTACGATGTATTATACATATTATTACTGAGGTAATAAATAATACTAGTATTATTTTTCAAAAATGTGACAACCATACTAATTCAACATTTGATTTTTAATATTACTCACATAACCAGTAATATTCTATCATTGATATAATATTAGATTGTTGATAGGTGCTCTATACAGCTTGACTCATTATAGCCATTGACCATTGTTAAAACTTCAAGTAGGTTGTTTCAATACAATAGTTTTGTCTATTTATCTATTAATTATTTAGTTTCATATTGAATTGGACAAATCATTATATCATGTACATCATCGTTTCTCAATCTTTTTAGTGTCCCGACCCTTAGGTTAGGTTTAATAGTTAAATAGGTATAAAATATGGTCAATTACTTTGCGATCGCTCTATATATATTAAGTAAAAATTTGAACAATAAAATTGTTATATCATTAACCTTACATGCATATTTATTTATATTATCATTATTATTATTTTAATTATCTTTTTTGTTTATAAAAAATTTTTAATTAAAATAGTTTGTTTTGTAAATCGGTGATTTATTATTTTTAACCTACATTACCCCTAGTTAAGGTGATCACTGATCGCAATCCCCAAATTGAGAAATGTTGATATACCACCTACGTTATAAGAGTATTTAAAAAGCAATATAAATGTTATGTATTAATAATTTTTAAAATGTTTATAATATTGAACTAAAATAATTAAATAAGAAAGGCGTCTTCAAATTAACTTCATACATCACACACAGCATAATAAAATGAATAATGATCATAAATTCATAACGCACAAATTTACACGATCCGCAAGTATTTATATAAAAATTGCCTATATTTAAATCCTTAAAAATGGTTGATATAATATCAAATACTCTTAATACTGAAGAATAAAGACTACAAATAACATAAAGCAAAGAGTAGAAATAATAAGAAAAAATAACCGAAGAACTCGCTCTGGTGACGGTATAGATTTGCATGTCAATTGTATTTCGTTTTATTGAATAGGTAACGTAGGTATATTAAAATATTTCATTGAGTAAGAAATACGATTTTTAATGGAAGCGATATTATTTAAGTTGTAGGTTACCTATTTATAAATAATATATATTATAATGTATTTATAATTCTTTTTAAAAAAATTTTCAAATTTACTTATTGTTTTATTATATTACAGATTGTAAATACATATTTATTTAATAGGAAAAAAAATTCTTTTTACTATTAATTACATGGCAATATTAAAAAGTACATTATGGTATATTATCCAGCATAGTCTTATGAACCCAATTAGGTATTCCTGTCTACGGAATGTTGAAATTATATACGAATAAATCAGTGGCACTATCTATCTAGAAAAATAATATTAAAAAAAAATAAACTATTATTATAAGCTAGTGTAACAGTAGAGTTGTAATGGGAAATTTCTTAGATAAAAGAAAATAATATTAAATTTTCTGTTTGATATTCAAATGTATATTTGTTATTCAATTACCATATGTCCAATTAAAAGCTAGATTTAACTTCGAAACGCGGAAAAAATTAACTCTGTATGAGTAGATACTCACAAATCACAATATATACAAGTTTTAAATTAACTGCTCACTTCTGTTGTATAATTTTATGTAATAGCAATGTAAAACAGTTTAACATTCCGTCTTATAAGTTATAAGTACTTTAAATATATTTATTTTGATTTTCACGGAAATTGTATAAGTGTTACTGCAGTGCAAGGAAAACTATGAACGAATAATACGGATATTTTAAACACTTAATTATTAAATAAATATATAATTTTTATTTATTTGTAATATAATATACTAATACAGTAAAACTTCCTTTTAAGTTATTCTTAATCTTTAGTAAGGAATGCGAGATGGAAATTTATTTATAGCAGGAAATAACAACATTCTCGTATAATTTATATCTCATATTATATTTTAGTCTCCCATGTCTCCATGGATCAGAAACTCTTTTGTAGTGGAAAAATAAGTTAGATACACAACTACACTAGTAACCTGATGATAACTGTACTTGACAAACACTTTAAATTGATATGCATCGTTTCGTAAATTATTGATAAAAATTATTCAACGGAAAGTAAGTTAGGCAGATTTATGAAGGGTGTCGGGTTGTATAAATGATTACTTAAACATTTATTGAATTAACTTAAGTTAGTGGTGTATTTTTTTATTTTTTATTTTAGAATGGGGTGGTGAGAAGTCGAAAATAATGGATGGCCGAATAAAATGTAGGTATTATATTATAATAAAATAATTATATTTACAAGATTTCACTTAAGTACAAAAAAAATAAAAAAATAGATTCAAAAGTCATACTAATAGCTATTTACTATAAAGAAAGAGAGTACATTAATAATTATATTTTATTGTATGACATTTTATTCTATTCACTGTATTTATCAAGATTTAGTGAGCGTTAAACGTTAAAATTTCTCAATACCATTTAAAGTCTTTTAAAATGCTGTCTTAATTAAAAAACAGCAATATATTTTAAAGAGCAAACAACCTTGCTCTTTATATATCCAAATTTTTGTACTATAACATAGTCCCAAATCGGCCAAATCTAAATAAAAAATCCATGCTCTAAAAACTAATGTTTGTGGATTTCTTTAACCAAAAACGCATAATATAAATTTAAATAACAATATGTTTAAATATATTATTTAATATATTAATTTATTAAAGAAAAAAAAAATTGATTAAATTTCTTCTAATATATTATTTATAAAAATAAAGCAATGACTTTAAATAGTATTGCAATATTTTACCAAAATACCTAAATATTGTTTAAAAAGCACACTTTTAAATTCCATACAACACACTTTACTTTTTATATTACACACAATTTTAGAGATTAAAGCAAACATTAA